GGAGGAGGAGAAGGAGGAGGAGGAGGGGGAGGAGGACAAGCTAGGTGCGCTCGCGTCATATCTGACGTCCTACCCCTCCCTCCCATCCCTTACCATGGCGCTGACTTTCTCTATCCGCGGACGCGTGTCGTAGCGGACCTGTGGCTCCGCGCGCGCGTGCGTAGTGGGTGGTGGTGCACGTGCGTGCGTGCGTGCGTGTGTGCGTGGTTGTGGTGGTGGTGGTGGTGGTGGTGGTGGTGGTGGTGGTGGTGGTGGTGGTGGTGGTGGTGGTGGTGGTGGTGGTGGTGGTGGTGGTGGTGATGGTGGTGGTGGTGGTGCTGGTGGTGGTGGTGGTGGGTGCTGGTGGTGGTGTGGTGGTGGTGGTGGTGGTGTGGTGGTGGTGGTGTTGGTACTGGTGCTGGTGCTGTGGTGGTTGGTGGTGGTGGTGGTGGTGGTGGTGGTGGTGGCGGTGCGGCGCGGTGGTGGCGGGCGGATGGGCGCGCGAGAAAAAGGCCCGCGCTGGGGCGAGAACGCCATCCTGAACGACGGAGGCCAAACACCGATCCGACAATGAGGCCCACGCTGCAGCGGGAGCACGATTCGGAACGATTCGGGAGCAGAAATGAGGCCGGCGCCTCAACGAGAGCAGCATTTTGGGAAAAAATGACGCCGGCGCCTCAGCGAGAATCGTTTCCCGGGATTTCCCGGGGATCCTGTGTAAAACAACAGTACGCGGAGGGTGCGCGGCCATCACCCGGACGCCATAAGGGGAAGAGGGAGAGTATTTTCATATTGAGTAATTGTGGAGGAGGAGGAGGAGGAGGGAGAGGAGGGAGGAGGAGGGAGGATGGAGGAGGAGGAGGGAGGAGGAGGCGGAGGAGGAGGAGCAGGGGGAGGAGGAGGAGCAGGAGGAGGAAGAGGAGGAAGACGAGGAGGCTCCCCGCCCCACCGGCCGCTGCTGTCCTGAGAGCCTTCGGCCCAGGCCCGCCGCGGGGCCCTGGGCCACACAAGTAAATACACACAAATACACAGATCACCGATATTTTCATATGTTTTCTGGGCTTCTGTTTTCCCACCCACTTCCAAAATTTTCCGATACTTTCCTGGGAGTCGACGATGAATTGTGCCCACAGTCAGAGCGCGGACGATCTGGACGCCGGGAGGTTTGCGTCGGAACAATTCGGGAGGATGAAGCCCAATTTGCGCCGGGGAGGTTTGCGCCGGGGAGGTTTTCGTCGGAAGAATTGGAGAGGTTGGCCAAAGCCAGAGCGCGGACGATTTGGACGGGGCCCTGGGCCACACAAGTAAATACACACATATACAAAGATCCCCCATACTTTCCGATGTTGTCTGGGTTTCTGTCTTCCCCCCACTTCCAATATTTTCCAATATTTTCCTGGGAGTCGATGATAAGGGAAGTTTTCGTCGGAAAAATTAGGGAGGATGAAGCCCCACTTGCGCCGGGGAGGTTTGCGCCGGGAAGGTTCATGTCGGAAGAATGAGGGAGGTTTTTGCGCCTGGGATGCCCACAGCCAGAGCGCGGACTAGGTGGACGCCCGAAATGTAGGAGGCAACCACCGGGAGGTTCTCGTCGGAACAATGAGCTGCGGCGCCGGAATGGGCCTCGGATTCAGCGGGACGAAGCCGGATTAACCGGGATGGAGCCGGATTAAGCGGGATCAAGCGGGGTTAAGCCGGATTTCGGACAAGGGCAAGATCAGAATTTGACCTGCCAGGAGTTGCATCCGAAGGACTAATAGAGGCCTCCCAGATTTGGCGGCGCGCACAAGGGGGTGGAGGGAGGGGGGAAGGCTTTTTAGAAGGAGACTGCTTCTTAGAAGGCGCTGGCCCTGCATCTATGGATAAAGCAGGGGTGCTTCTAAGAAGCAGGGGTGCTACTAAGAAGCAGGGGTGCTTCTAAGAAGCCGGACCGGGGGGAACGAAAGGGGGGGGATAAGAAAGGGCAGGGTAGAGAATCAGCTCACGTAGCTGATTCTCCCAGCGCCTCCAGGCGCGAGAAGGCGCCCATGTATCGAGGAATGGGCCCGACGGCGGGGCCGAAACCAGCTGCACGCAGAAGATTTCGTATCCCCCCCTCTCCCTACCACCCCCTTTCGTTCGTTCCGAGCGGGCTAGAGGCCTCCCAGATGGGCTCCAACCGATATGGCCGGAGAATCGCACCGCAGCGCCGATGTATCGCCGATGCATCGGCGGGGAGAAAATCGGGCTCTACATCGAAGCGCATCGTCGATACATCGGCGATGCGGAACGATCCTCCGACCCTATCTACTCCGACCCCATCTAGAAGGCCTAGACGGACGCCCCGCCCACCGATGGGCGGCGAGCACGGGGGTGAGCGCAGGCAGCCCATAAGGAGGACGTACGCGCCCATCCGACGACGACCACGACAACGATGACGACGACGACGATCTTCGGTTCTCTCAACATGCCGCTGTCTGCTCGTCGAGGAACCCGCGTCTCCTTCTCCTCGGGAGCCTTCAAAAGACGTACGCGCCCAACCATGCACATGAACGCGCCACCCCCCAATCCGCGAGACCGGCCGCGTGGTGCGAACGTTCGCGCCATGCGCACTCTCGAAACCACCGTGGATTCATGTACGTGTTCGTCCTTTCACCTGGCGGTAGGTTCTGATCCCGCGCTCGGTCGCTGTATAATTAGGCTCGCGCGTAGCCCGCCCGACCTTTTCGGATGCCTCCTGCGCTTCCGCTTGCGGCCGCGATAAAAATGTACGTGTTCGTCCTCCTTTCGCTCCCGATAGATGCGAAGCTTGCCATCGCTCGGACGCCCATTCCCCGTGCATTCTTTGTCTCAGTGTTGGGTCGAGCCTGTCCCCCTTCAGGCCGACCTTCGACGAAAAACTAAAATACTCAAACGTTGCCCCCAAGATCGCCCAAGAGGCCCAAGACGGCCCCAAGAGGCCCCCAAGACGTCCCAAGAGGCCTCCAAGACGCTCAAGATGGCCTCCAAGACGGCCCAAGAGCCCTCCAAGACGTCCTCCAAGGGTCAAAAATGGCCTTCCGACGGCCAAGATGACCTTCAAGATGCCCACGTGTTCCCCGAAGGCTTTCCAAACCGATTCGGGGAACACATGGTCCGATAGCTTAGCAGGTCTGACCTCAACGTTCGGCCACATAGGCGCTTCAAAGAAGGCAGGGGGCGGCGGTGCCGGTTGATTTATCACAGGGGTGCCTGGCGTGCTGAACGTTTGGTTGTTTTCGGCTCTGTTCCAAAGAACTCCCCCTGGGGTTTCGGCCAAACCATCCGGCCACCCGAAAAGCTCTTCCAGACGCATCTCCTATCGGTTGTTCCACTTAAGATGGCCTCCAAGACGGCCACGATGGCCTCCAAGACGGCCAAGATGGCCCTAAAAGAGTCCAATACAGCCCCAAGATGGCCTCAAAGACGCCGCCCAGACCGCCAAGATGGTCCAAGACAGCTCAAGGAGCGCCCAAGAGGCCCCTCAGACGGCCCAAGAGGCCTCCGAGAGTTCCTCCAGGAAGGCCCGAAGAGGCCAAATGTATTGATTCTCCTTAGTTGTTTGACAGATTTTGGGATTTGCTTCAAAACTGCCATCCGACGGCCCCAGAGGCCCCCAAGATTGCCCCACGATCGTCCAAGAGGCCTCCAAGATGGCCCCCAAATGGCCCCGAGAAGGCCCAAGAGGCCAAGAAGCCTCCAAGACGCCAAAAAGACGACCCTGACGCACCGCAAGAGAGCCCCAGAGAGGGACGCTGTCAGACGGCCAAGGAGGCCCCCAAGAAACCCCAAAGGCCCCCAGGAGGCCCAATCAGGAGGCCCCCAAGAGGCCTCCAAGAGGCCCCCAGGAAGCTCCCAGGAGTCCCCAAACATTGGTCAAGAAGCTCCCAAGAGGTCCCCTCATCCTTCTTATCATCATTCTCCTTTATCCTCCCTCTCCTCATCCTCCTCTTCCTCCCTCACGTGTTCCCCGGAGGGCTTCCAAAACGGCTGGGGAAATGCATGGTCCAATGGCGTGGCCAAACTCTGCCCAAACGTTTGGGCACACAGGCGTACTCTAAAATGCTGGGGAGGCGGTGATTCGCCGTGGGCGTCTTCGACTCATGTCGAAGCCTCGTGGGCGATCCCTTCTGACCGCTGCTGCTCGTACCTTGGCCTTGGGCAGCACTTGGGCGCCCTCCTTTTGGACCACCACTGAGGGACAACGATAAGGGGGGACTGGCATAGGGGGGATGCATCGACCTGGAGTCGGCGATATATATATATATATATATATATATATATATCCGAGAGATCGGCGATGGACCCCCGATAGTGAATCCGCACCTTTCTGTGCAGGTTAGGCCTCTCGGGCCCCTATCGGCGATCAATGGACGATTCGATGCATCCCCCCTACACCCTGCGAAATGCTTAAGAAATCATGGGTTAAGAAATTCATAGTCTCAGAACGTGAATAAAAACCCAGAATTTCTATTCAAATCTTAGGATTTACATTGAAACATTAAGAATAATCGAGACTCTGGCCGAACATTTAAGTTTTCTTAAGCATCGCCTAAGGTGTATGCCCATCCCCCCCTGCCGTTGCCCCTGAACCACCCCCCTCCGGGCGAGACCGTCATTGCCTCGCTGGCAAGGCTCGGCAGGGACGCCCGGGAGGTCTGCACGGCCCAGGGGACGCCCTGCAGGGGCCTCCGGCGGCGCCCGGGGATCCGAAATTCGCTTGAGGGGACCTGTCCGAGGGCCCCCGCCTGGGAACAGATGCGTAGGGAAATGTAGATCCTCCTCTTCCTCCTCCTCCTCCTCCTCCTCCTCCTCCTCCTCCTCCTCCGTATCCCCCTCCTCCTCCCCCTCCGCTTCTTCCCATTCCTCCTTCTCGCCAACACTCCTCATACGGTGCCGCCTCCTCCGCCTCCTCCCCGTCCTCGTCCTCCTCCTCCTCCTCCTCCTCATCTTGCTCCGCCTCTTGCTCCTCCTTCGCCTTCGCCTCCTCCGCCTCCTCGGCCCTTGGGCCATGGCGCTCCGTCCTGCGCCAGCTCGAAGGCCACGGGTCTCCGCGCGAGGTCCGCGCGGCCGTCTTGCCCCGGGGGCTCCGCGGCGGGGGACCGCGGCTCCCTGCCGGTGCCCGGCAGCCGCAGGCGCAGGGCCAGCCGCTTGTAGCGCTCCTCAAGGGCAGCTATGCTGGGGAACCCCACGAAAGACCTACGCGCCCAACCACGCAGGGCTGAACCTAAGCGGTGTTTTTCGTTTTCGCAACGGCAGCTCTTCCGATCTGGGCAACGGCAGATCTGCTCAACATCGGCCCCCGGACTCCTCCCAGGGCCCATCCTGACCCGTCTTCCGAGGCGGATACCAAGGCTGAACCTCAACGGTGTTTTTCGTTTTCGCTTTGTTCTCGTTTTCCCTCGCTTTGTCTTCGATCCGCCCTTGCCGCAAAACGAAATCGAGACGAAAACGGCCCACGAAATCGCCAAAACACCGTTTAGGTCCACCCCTGCAATCACGTACATGAACACGGCACCCCAATCCGCGAGACCGGCTGCGTGGCACGAGCGTTCGCGCAATGCGCACGATCAAAACCAGCGCGGAGTCATGCACGTGTACGTCCACCTGTCGCTCCTGACATGTTCGCGTTCCGAGTTTCGTGAAACGCGAATCGAAGAGGGAAACGAAATGGATGAAGATATCAACAACAAAAAAAATGCGAGTCGCGAACCGTGAATAACTTCGCACCCTCGTCGTAGCGGCGCCTGGCTCCGGGGGGGGGGTCCGGTCGGGGAAGAACACTGTGCATGAATATAAATCTTCGTAAGTCCCCACTGCTTTCGTGGAGCGGCGCTGGTGCCCCCCCTGGTATCGCCTCCGGCGCCGCCACCCACTGGCTCGCTCCGCGCGCTTGGGAGGGGGGTCCGACGACGATCCGAGAAACCCGTGCGGACGCCTGGCAGGCCAGCAGGGGGCCGATGCCGAGGGGAAGTCGGCAAACAGCATGGAGGGCTTGCACGTGCAGATCGCATCGTGTACTGCGGCGGCTGAAAAAGCATTGCTTCCCATTCGGGGCTGCATCCCTGGTCCATAGGTATAGCCGTTCTTGTATTCGGTTCGGCACCCTTGCCGAGAAATTTGAAATCCAATGCCTCTCTCAATATATATATATATATATATATACACACACTTATTTATCTATGTATATCTCTATATATGTATCTGTCTCTGCCTCTGTCTCTCTCTCTCTCTCTCTTCCTTTCTGCACCCCCACCGTATGGAACTCAAGCAACACGACGTGGAGCCCAAACCCGACCAACAGGAGAACGCTGTGGGAACGCATACGTTGAACAGGACAAGCCTGCTTCGGAACACCTCCAGCGGCACCACTCCAAGGAAGGAGTTGACAACAAGAAGACGCTGACAGGACGACTGGGCTGCGTCCCGCCCCGCGCTTCCCACTCCCGCATGACGATGGCGAGTAGAAGAAGAGAGATTACTGGTGGGGAAGGCCAAAACTGGAACTGTGACAAAACCTGCTCCCCAATGGGCCGGAAAAGGTGGCGGCCTTGACAACAGCGGTATGCGCTTACGCGGGTCGCCACGGGCGCGCACAGTGGGCTTTACTCTCCACGCGGTCGGTACCTTGCTTCCACGTCTGTACGCAACGGGGCATTCATCAAAGAATGGAACAACGCAACGCCCAGACCATCGAGAGTGAACGGAAACAACCGTTGACTGGATTCGTCGGGCCGCTGCCTCGCAAGGAAAACGGTGAGCAACATGGGCATGGCCAGGGTCAAATCTGGCACAACGTCATCGAAACCAAGGGACGCATGTATATATATAAGCATACATACATGCATATATACATGCATACATGCATGCATGCATACATACATACATAGATACATACCTGCATACATACATACATACATACATCCATACATACATACATACATACATGCACACACATACATACATGTATACATACATCCATACAAACATACATGCAAACATACATACAAACCTACAAACACATACGTACACACATACATACATGCATACATACATAAATGCCGACACACATACATACATACATACATACATACATACATACATGCATGCATACATACATACATGCATACATACATACACACATACATACATACACACATACATGCATGCATGCATGCATGCATACACATATACATATACATATACATGCATACATACATACATACGTACATGCATACATACATACACACATACATACACACATTCATACATACATACACACATACACACATACATACAAACATACAGACATACGTACGTACATACATACACACATACATACATACATACATACATGCATTGCGACATACATACATACATACATACATACATACATGCATGCATGCATGCATGCATGCAAACATACATACATACACACATACATACATACATACATATACATACATTATGCCATACACACATGCACATACACACACATACGTACATACATACATACATACATACATACATACACACATACATACATACATACATACATACATACATACATACATACATACATACATACACATATATATATATATATACCAACGTAGTTATTGTATGCACATAACACTATACATATGATATCCGCCATCGTGCCGCTGGCCACGGAGTGGACGTGTCCTCAGATCCTCTCACTACCCTTCTACGCCTCAGTCCTGTCGTGAGGGTTGTTTCACAAAGGTTCGGAGCCCCTCGGCCCAATTCTCCTGGGGCATGTTGTGTGACTTCTGAGCTCCCCCGAATGTTATCGCGTGAGCCGGCCCAAGAGGTCTCCACAATGCCCAACGTAGTCTCCAAGAGGCCTCCAAGAGGCCAACATCATTGATGTTCCTCCAGGTTTTGTAAGATTTGGGAATTCTCGCCACTTCGGCTTCCCGACACCCGCACACGGCAGTGGAGGCCCCCAAAACCACCCCCAAGGCGGCCAAAGAGGCCTCCAAGAGGACCCTCAAACGGCCCAAAAGGGCCCCAGAACACCCCAAGAGGCGCCCCAAACAGCCCAAGAGGGTCCCAAGACGGCGTTGAGGCTTCCAAAAGCAAAACTCTTCCTATTCCCGATGGACAACGTATATTTTCAGCACATTCGCCCATTGGGTTTCCACGCGGCCCACAAAGGAAGATCGACCCTCCGCAACCCAAGAGGCTCCCTGAAAGGCTCCACGACGGCTTCCCGGCGATACACGAAGGCTCCAGAAACCATGGCATCGGCCCGGGAGAGCCGCAGGACGCCCGGACGGCCCACGTGACAAGCGATTCGGTCCAAATCGCCCAAGATTGCCTGGAGACCGTCCCATAGGCCCAACGCGTCCACGAAACGCTCCAAGAAGGCCTCCAAAAGCCAAAACACGGTCCATTCCCACGGGCAAACGTACATTTTCACAACATTAGTTTTTTTGGTTTGCTTCCACGCGGCCCGTAACGGCCACGAAACCTCCAAGATCAACCCTCCGCGACCCAAGAGGCCCCCACAGAGGCTCCACGACGGCTTCCCGGCGACCCACGAAAGCTCCAGGAACCCTAGCAACGGCCCAGGAGAGCCGCAGGACGGTCCCAAAACGGTCCGAAACGAGCCAGCAGGGCCCCCAAAGGCTGCTCAGACGGCCCACGCGCGGGGCGATTCGCTCCGAATCACAAAAGATTGCCTCCAAACGGCCCCGCAGGCCCCCAAGACGTATGAAAACGCGTCCACGAAGCGCCCCCCGAAGGCGTCCAGACGCACAAATCGTTTCATTCCCAAGGGAAAACGCACACGTTCAGCACATTCGCCGATTGGGTTTCCAAGCGGCCCACAAGAGGCCTAGAAGCCTCCAAGATCGATTCTCCGCAGCCCAAGAGGTTCCCACAGAGGCCCCGCGACGACTTCCACGCGATCCACGAAGGGCCCAGGAACCCTAGCAACGGCCGGGGAAAGCCGTGGGACGGCCCCAGAAAAAGTCAGTCTGGTTTTGAACAAATTTGCGGGGCCCAGAAACGGCCCCCAGAGACCCAAACCTATCAAAAACAAGAAATGTTCAAACAATCATATCTGGAAAGGCGGCCGGAATCGCCGCGGGCATCTACTTCGATCGAGAAGAGGTAGAGGAGAAGGGCAAGGAGGGGGAGGAGGAGGAGGAGTAGGAGTAGGAGTCAAGCTAGCCAGCTCGAGCGAGTCAAGCATGGCATGCCCAGTCCCACCCGCCCTCCCACAACATAAGAAGCAAAACTGGCACAACTGGGGGCCGAAGTCACACCGGCCAGCCGGTTTGGTACAGCTGATGCGGCCGCGATGGCGGTTGCCGACGGGAACTGGCGAGCGCCTCCTGGTGTTTCGTGGGGCCTCCTGGGGCTTCCTCAAGGCCCCAACTTGTATTGTTTTTTTTGTTAGAACGGGGGGGTTTGGATGGGCGGGCGCGGGGTGTGCGCCGCATCCCATTCCTGCCAAGCATTTTGCGACGTGGACGACAGGACGTCCATGCTGAAAGGAAGTTTGTGCGCGGCGCCGAAGCGAGAGCGACATGTCACCCCTTCGCGCGGGGTGTGCGCCGCGTCCCATTCCTGCCACGCATTTTGCGACGTGACGACAGCACGACCATGTTGACAAGAAAAACAAAAACTGCGTATTGTCTTTTGCATATTAGAATGGGGCGGATTGGATGGGCGGGCGCGGGGTGTGCGCCGCGTCCCATTCCTGCCATGCATTTTGCGACGTGGACGACAGGACGTCCATGCGACGGTGCCAATGACGGCGACGACTCTAGAAGGATTTGAGCATGCGCTCGCGGCGACGCGCGCGCATGTCGCCCGCGTGGTATTTGTTGCACAGGATTCGCGGCCTGGGTGCATGACAGAGCATCGCGAGTGCACCGCGCGATGACGTGAAATCGCTGGATTTGACAGAATTCTTAAGATTCCTATGGTTTTCCTATGATTTCAGCAAGAGAGCCCGGGCAGGACATTTGTATAATTTGTGTGAAAAAGCATTGGGTTGTTGATGTTTTTATGTTGGAATGCTTGCAAACACACGGTGTTCGGTAGGATTATGACATGAACGCGCGCGTGTGCTCTTTGAAATACTTTTTGCAATGGGTTATCGCCGTGGACGACAGGACGTCCATGTCGAGAGGAAAAAATAAGAAAAATGTTGATGTTGTATTGTTTTTTTACGGGTTAGGATGGGACCGCCCGGATGGGCCCCCTATCTGCCGGCCTGAGGGGGGAGTAGGAGTATATTCTAATAAGGAATAAGGATAGGAGGAGGAGGAGGAGGAGGAGGAGGAGGAGGAGGAGGAGGAGGAGGAGGAGGAGGAGGAGGGGGAGGAACACAAATAAAGAAATGTGTTCGTCGTCGCCGCCGATGCCTAACAGATTTTCGTGGTCTCTCGACCACCCGGGGCACCTCCTCGAACTCAGCCTCCAAAAACCGTTTTCGGTGCCCGGGGGCACCGCCGAGGGTCCGGGGCGAGGACCGACCTCCCCGGCCGGTGCCGCCACTTCGCAGAGGAAGGCGCACAGGGTGGATCGAGGCTCGAGGCATGGGGCTCCGAATCCGGAAGCGCTCTCCGCCCCCTCTGGGACTTCAGGAAGCTCTTCGTCGACGCAGCTTGGCACGCTCTCGAACTTCTGGCCGGGCGCGCCCCCAGCTGGGTCTCAGCGATCCCCGAGCCTATCCAGGGGGCAGAAGAGGAGGCCCGGGACAGGCCCCGTGTAAGCCCCAAGAAACCCGCATAAGACCACGAATAACTTCAAAACAACCCCCTACAAGGACCCCCCTGAACCCGCGTTGCGCAAGACAGGCCGAAGCCCCGAGGCCGCCCAGCGATCGCGCGCGTTCCGCGAACTCCGTCTTTCACTCTTGCCACCGCCCCAAGGGGTCGGCGGCGCGGCGTGAGCCAACGGATCGCTTGCAGAAAATGAGTCGACGAAGTTTGTCGGGTCGGCAAAAATGCCGCGAGGTTCGTGATGCGCTCGGACACGCGCCCCGCGACCCGTGAACACGTCTTCCACCCGCGACGCCATCAGACGACGGTCTCCTCCACGACCGTGTCGAAGCCGCCCCCGTCCATGAGGTTGTCGCGCACCTCGCGCGCGGCCGCATGCGCGGCCACGCGTCTGCGTCCTTGATGCGACACTGGGTCGCTCGACTCGTGGGCCCTCGTGCGCCACCAGCAAAGCTGGGAGACCATCTCGTCGATCTCCTTGCAAGCGTAGCCCGCGTGCCCCCCGAACGTCGCTCGTTCCTGGCCGCCTGGCATGACTGTGCTGATGATGCCGTCGATCGAGGGCCTCGTCCAGCGCATCTGGCAGCCGTCGCGCGCCCACCGCGGGGTCTGGTTGTTGCCCCGATGGCGCATGGCTTTCTCGGGGAACGCGCGCGCGGCCCGGCCCAGTCGGTCCTCGCGGCGCCCGTGCCATCGCGCCCCAGCCTCCTGTCCGCCGCGAACCACTCCCGCTGGGGACCTTCAGGGCTCGGGGGCAAGGTCGCGGGTCGCGAGGCTGTCGCACGCGCGGTGCCGCCACCTGGCCCAGGTTCCTGCCATCCCCGAGCGGGTTCTTGCAGGCGTTCGCACGGATGCGGGCCTCTGCGCGGCGCCCCATGGCCACGCGGTCCAGAATGGAGAGCGGCTTCAAGCTGAATTGCTTTCATGTCCGCGTCCGCTTCTCTGGGGTAATCGTGGGATGACTGGGCCTGCCGTTGCTCGGAAGTTCCGGCTGCGGCTCTTTCTCGATGAGGATGCGCCCCGCGCGGTTCATCATCGCCCGAGACGTTGGGAAAGGAGGCAATTGGCTGAGAACGACGGATTTGAGCCGAGGGTGCCTGCGATTCCACGCCGAATGCGGCATCCTCAGGCTCGGCGACCTGGTGGCACCCCAGAGTCTGCGAAGAGACTGTTAGGATTTGTTGTCGGCCAACCCTCCCCGGGGCAATTAAACACCTCGATCACAATGTGCGCGCGCGCCCCTACCTCGCGCGATCTCGACCTGCTGCCGTCGAGCGATTTCCAAGTGATAACGCCACCTCAGAAGCGCCGCAATTCTTCGCCGCAGCAACGGGCAGGGCCCAGCTGGGAAGAAACTTGGTAGATCCTCGAACGCCCATGTCATCCATTTCCAGAGTGGGTATCTGCGTGGGTTTCAGATCATAGGTATCTCCCAGATATTTCACCATTTGCTCGAACTTATCTTTGCCGCAGACTCCGCGCCGAGCTCCAGCATCCACCAGACCGAACCCCACATGAACAAGAAGTCCAATGAAAATCTGGTACCAGCAGAAACAAAGATGGTGCAACTGAAGAAACTAACTCCAGACTGGATCCTAGGTCCCGGTTGGCAAACGTCGCGCAATGCATCGTCTGCTTCAAGGGGAACTGCACGGAAGCCGCCGGAGCCTGCTTGTTGCCCGCGCCCTCGCTCGTCTGGCTCGCTCGCGCAGTCCCGAGCCCAGTGGCCCATCTTCCCGCGTCGGGGACATTTCGGACAACTCATCCTCTTACTTTTGGTCCACCGCTTCGGTCGGACACGTCCAGTTCGCCCCCCTCGGCGTTTTCCCTTCTCAGGGGCCTTCGGCCATTCCTTCGGGGGGGGGGCTCGCCCAAACTTCCATGGGCGCGCGTGCTGTCGTACCTGACTGCAGTTGCCGTAGATGGCGACAGCCTCGTCTTCCTCTGAACTCACGTATACGGGCAAGTCCCCAACTACGAAGAGCGCGCGTTCGTCGCCCACGCACTTGAAAGCCTCAGTCAGGATCGAGATCCTCGCAGGACCCAGCCAAGGTAAAGAACGACTGTCCCATGAGAATGCATTGGGGGTCGTCGCGAACAAATCCCCGGTGTTCTCGCGTCCGTCTCGTCGCGAACAGATCCCTGATATCCGACAAAATGCGAAGAAGAACTCGCGCCATGGATGCGATGGCCGCCTTTGCCAGAAGGTAGCGGTCGCGCAAGCATCCGAAGCTTCTCGCGCGCCAGATCACAATCGCATGATTCTTCCGCCCAGTCCTCAACCGCATCCCAGCAACTTCATGTAGCTTGCATGTTCTGAGAAGCATCTACCCGGCCAGATCCTCCGGCAGGGCCATGCGCTTCTCGAGCTCTCGGACAAGCACGCGCTTGCGCGCGATATGGATGACCATGATTTTTTCTCGCTTGCGCTTGGTGTCGACTGAATAGAAACAATTTTCGAAAGCCTTAGGCATCCCGCGGTCTCGGTATTCGGCAACGGCCTTCTTGGTATGTTTGACCACAACTTGCTCGCTGTCCTCCGAAGACAACTGGACCTCGGTGAGTTGGTTGATAATGATATTGAAGTCGTCGCTGGCGTAGCGGTAGATCGGATATTCAAGTACGTGGTTTCAGAGTCCTGGTAGTAGCGCGCCACGCCGGCAGCTCCTTCATGTAAGGCTCTCAACGAGTCTGTGGATATTTTCAATTCCAAGTGGGAGAAGGTCGTTTGGTATCTTTGGGGCCTCCGATTGTTGAGACAATTGTCCGTTCTGGCGATCAGAAATCTGGCAGTGGTATCTCCCCTACGTCGGTGCTTGCGGAAAAAAAAAAAAAAAAAAAGCTGAGCCTGTGTCCGCAGAAGCGTGTTCTGCCGATCCGGTGCAACCGGCGAACCACGGCCCCGCACATTCCAACCTGATGAGGGTAAACGCGCGTGGGGTTGTGAATACGTCCAGGACTGCGAGAACCAGCGGGCCCAGTCCCGACCTGACCAGCCCACGTCGTCATCACGTTCCCACAAAAAAAACGTCCTCTCGTCCTTCGCCTCTCGCCCAAGGATCCTGTCCTAGTTGTAACCAAGGATCTGCAGAAATCTCGTCGTCTTGAGGCTGAGCGTCGTCTGGAGAATTCACGGCAGCGCTCGGTGCAGGAGGGTGGGAAGCGGGAGGACCAGGACAAGAGTATACAGATTGTCGCCCGAAAATGAAATTACAGGGGGGTCGTCCTGACCCCCCTCGTGGATCTCAACCACAGGCTCCGCTGCCACTGTGGATCGCACGGGACTAATTGTATGGATACCGAGAAAAACGAATAACAATTAGGGGGAACCCGTGCTAGAAGAAAGCACGGTATCGTTTTTTTTGCGGAGGCTGGAGCGCGTCCGTCACCGGCGCACCATGATAGCTCAAGGGCCCATGAGCCAAAATGGCGGCGCACAAGTGGGTTCAAGCAGAGAGGCAGGAGGGCGAGAGGCTGAAATGGGCATGGCAACCACAAAGGAGGAGGAGGAGGAGGAAGCGGAGGAGGAGGAGGAGGAGGAGGAGGAACAGGAGGCACATGACGAGGAGAAGGAGGAGGAGGAGGAGGAGGAGGAGGAGGAGGGAGCGGAGAAGCAGAGGAGGAGAATGTGACGGGGGGGGGGACGGGGCGAGCGGCAAGGAAAAGGACGTTGACGAGGACAAGGAGGAAGCAGGGGGAGCACGGTTGAGAAAGAAGAGCGGGGCGGAGGAGGGCAAGAAGGAAAAGGCAGGGAACAAACCGAGGGGCCTTCTGATCCCCCTTGCAGACCAGAATATGTAAACACGTGCATGAGGTGTCGCTCGTGCAGTTGTCTTACAAGACCTTCGTTCTTGCATCGGCGCTGTCCAATCCGGAAAGCTGTTTGAAGAACGCTTCCGCGACTGAAGATACTATCTCCTGCCTCGCTGCGTGCCCAATGTACGAGACCCCCTGATTGGGATGCCGCGGAAAGTGCGCAAAAAGGCAAATGACGCTCCAACGCAAGACGCATATCGATATCCTAAATCAGACCTCACTGTGGCGAGCAGCCCGGGAGCAGGCACACGCCCAAGTGGGGAGAAGCGCAGAAGGACAGGAGGACAATCAGTTGCGGCGCAGCGGCGGCGAGGTGAAAGGGTAGTAGAGAGACAAAGAGAAGCCAAGGGCGCACATAATCGAATGATGATGACGATGGCGAGGGAACGCTAGACAAAAGAAGCAAAAACAAAAGGATGAACTGCGGACCGGAAAGACGCGGCACAGCGGCAGCGGGACGGTCGCGGCGCCCCAGCCCCGCTGTCCCAGCCCAGCGCCCGCGCGAGCGATTTGCGGGCGAACTGGTCGTCGCGCAAAAGCTCGGAGGCCCCGGAGAACACCTCCTGCCGGCCAGACTGGCTTCCAGAAGGACTTCAAGGATCAGAGGGGACGCTCCTGGACACGGCCCACCGATGTAAAAACGACGGTGTGGGGGGGGGCATTCCCCAGGGCCCCAAGGTGACCATGTGTACCCCGAAAGGCCAGGAAGGGGGCACGCTGAGGAATGGTCCAGCGTCCAGCGAAGCGGAGTAAGGTACGCGATGTCGTTCACAAGATGGGCTTCATTTTCCATCCAAGATATCTGCGCCCATTCGTGCTGCGATCATGGGCCACGAGGCCCGAAGAGACCATTCTTAATTTCTGGGGGATAACGCATGCTACCCGGGGGGGGGGCATGGTGGGGGGGTACGGGTAACTGGGGCCGCGGCGCACACCACCTCAGGCGCGCCGCCTACGTCGTCGTCGTCGTCGTCGTCGTCGTCGTCGTCGTCGTCGTCGTCGTCGTCATCGTCGTCGTCGCCGCCCAAGCCCACAGCGCCTGTGCACACAGCACGGGCTCTGCACAATGCCTTTTGCGCACCTGGACTGCTACAGAAATGATATGTGTGTGGGCCACAGCGACTGTGTACACCGTAACAACCGCGTGCACCACGACGCATTTGTACATCGCGCAGTTTGCGCACACCACGGCGCCCGCGTGCACCACAGCCGCTGTTTCAGCACCCCCTGTGCACCACAGCGCCTGCGCACACCACAAAGTCCGTGTACGCCTGAAGGGAATATCGACGGGGCCAAGCTCCGGAAAATCGTCGGGGGCCCGAACGTATCAACTTCAATCTATGAGTTGATTGTGGTTCTGTTTTTTCTGGCCGCAGTAGCGCTGGGAGATGTTGGGCCCACAACGCCTGCGCACGCCACAGCGACTGTGCGCGACATGGCAACTGCGCAGAAGGAAAAACGGCAGGCAGGCGGAGCAGCAGGAGAGGCAGCGGGAGGAGCAGCGGCGGGAGCAGCAGCGGGAGCAGGAGCAGGAGCAGGCGCAGGAAGAGCAGGAGGAGGCGCAGGAGGCGCAGCGGGAAGAGCAACAGGAAATTCCCGCCAGCCCCCACCCTGGGAGCCACGATGGCAGCAAGACTTGTCTTCAGGAGAACACTTTATACACACAGCAATGCCGATGTCCACCACAGCAGCCGTCTGCATAGCAACGCCTGTGATTATTGACGCCACAGCTGCTGTTTTTCAGCACCCCTCCGAATGCACCACACTGTTTGCGTGTACCACAAAATTTGCGGACACCTCGCTTTTGACGGAACCAAAGTCCAGGAAATTGCTAGGGGCCCGAATGTATACCCAATATTCTGATTTGCTTGTGAGTATTGGTTGTTTTCTGGCCCGAGGAACTCTTGGACATTTTGAGCTCACAGCGAATGTGAGAAACAACGCCTGTGTGCACGAAAATGAAGAGGAGGGAGGAGGAGGAGGAGGAGGAGGAGGAGGAGGAGGAGGAGGAGGAGGAAAAAGTGCGAAGATATGCGTGGGCCCATTATAGCCCACAGCGCGCGCTTGCATCGTAGCGACATTGCGCACTACAGCGATTGTGTACGCCACGGCGCCTGTGTACACCACAGGGCTTGTGATGTGTACACCACAATGCTTGCGTACACCATTTATGCCTGCGTACACCACGGCTGCTGCTGCAACGACAGATGCGTGCGCCAAAACGCCCGTGCACACCGCACTGCCTGCGTGCACCATACTGCACGCCCGCGTGCACAATCAACCCTAAACTGCCTGGGATCGCGCGCTGGATCGGGGCCGGGGCGTTACCGCTACGGGGAGGGGGAGGGGGGGGGGGGTAACATGCGTTATCCCTTGGGTGGAACATATGCTCAATCATGACAAGGCCATGCCCCTCGGGCGGAGCCAGTCGGGCCCTGCTGACGGCAATGCGCATCCCTCCAATCCCCAACGTGCGGGCTGCTATGTCCCATGGTGTATAACCGGGCTAATTACCCACATGCGAAACAGGGGTGTCTCGTACGGAATTAGAAGCGGATATCGGAGAGAAGGCAGTGGTGGAAAGGCCAATTCTGAAGGGGGGCCGCGACGCTGCAAGGGCAGCCTGGGTAGGGTGCAGAGCTGTCGGCAGTCAGCAGGGAAGGGCAAGTGCTACAGTCAGCTTACGCCCTCTGCCCCCGTTCCCTCCCCCTCCACCTCCCGAGAGGCCCGAGAGGTTCAATCGGTTCTCGAAGAGATGCAGGGGCTCTTGCCAGACGCACGGGAACACCCTTGAACCCTGGGGACCTCCCTTGTCGGGGCGGGCATGGAGGACCGGGCCCCTGCAGTGAGGCTTCGGGCTGCGCACAGACAGCCCCCCGGGTGGCACCGTTGAGCCCCATGGGGCTTCATGAATGGCCCCAGCTGGCCTCAACAGTCGGGGATGGACAGACCCCCCTTTAGTCAAACGTGGTTTAGTGAAAACGACCCGAGGCCCAAACCTGGCGGGAGCAGTCCTGGAACACAACGGCCACGGCGCCCTCTCGAGAACCGAAAACGGACAATTCACGAATCGACGTTTCCCTGTTGGGAGTTCTGTCCACCCCCGATTGGGGTGCCTCCCAGCAGCCGCGACCCGCCGAGAGCGTTTCAGGGATGCCCGGATGGTCCCGCACGGCCGCCCGAGGCCCGAATGATGGCCCGAAAGCCACCAGGGGACCAGCTCCTCCTCCTCCTCCTCCTCCTCCTCCTCCTCCTCCTCCTCCTCCTCCTCCCCCTCCTCCTCCTCCTCCCCCTCCTCCCTGGTGGGAGTTCTGCCCACCCCCGAAGCAGGGCCCCCCCGGAGTGGCCCGGGGTGGCCTCAACACCCGGAGGCGCGGAGCGCCCCGAGGGGGGCGCCGCTGGAGGCGGTGCCACAGTGTTGAGACCGCCCCGTGATGGGCCCGTTTTCCACCACCACCACCATAAGTTGGAGAGGGAGGGGGTCCTCCTCCTCATCCTCCTCCTCGTCATCCTCCTCCTCTTTGCCCTCCTCCTCGTCCTCCACCTCCTTCCCCCCTTCGACTTATGGTGGTGGTGGTGGAAAACAGGCCCATCACCCCGGGCTGCTCGGGGGGCCCTGCTGAGGCCAGCTGGGACTGCTCAAGGCAGGGCCGTCGAGGCAAGCCTGGACTATATGGTTGGTGCTGGGAAGGATGGCGTGCAGCATCGATCTCCGAAAAGGCGCGCTGGCCCCGTGAGGCGATCCCCCCGCGGAGGCCCCTTCTGTGCAAGCCATCTCCCCTGCCGGGGCCTCTTCGGTTCACGCTTTCCTCAAGGTGGGGCATGGCGTGTGATAAGCTGGCTGGCGGCGCCACATCGCACGCTATCTTTCCTGGGCATCATTTGCCCGATCCCTATCCCCACTGGCGTGGCCTGGGCCCCACTGGCCGATCTACCCCCCTAGATGGGGATATAGGCTGGGGTGGCGGGATGGTGGGGCCGAGGTGGGGCCGAGCTGCCATGGTCCAGCGGGGATGGGAACGGACCGACCGATACGGATTCCGACCGCCAGCGGTAACTGCGGGGGCTTCCTGCGCCCGGCCCGAAGCCTCAACCAGGCAACTGGCCACTCTAAAACAGGGCTAGGATCGGGATAAATCGCTCCAGAGCGTTCCGGAGCGCTCTCAGAGCGTTCCGGAACGCTCTGGAGCGGCCGCGGCGCCCGATACATCCTCCAAACCCGCCGATTCTCAGAGACTTCGAGTTATCCCGATCCGATTTTGTCCCGATCTTCGCGTCGTTTTGTTCTCGTGGTCGGCTCCTCGGCCACGTCGGCGGCGTGCGAGTTTCCGGCCGCCGCGGCTCCGGCGCAGAGGGAGAGCAGGGCGCGCGCGCAGAAGGCGTCGGCGGGGAGCCCCTCGGCGGGCGGCCGCGCACAATGCTTCTGCAAGCTGTGTGCTCCTCGCTCCTCTTCCTCCTCCTCCTCCTCCTCCTCCTCCTCCTCCTCCTCCTCCTCCTCCTCCTCCTCCTCCTCCTCCTCCTCCCCTCCTCCCCCTCCTCCCCCTCCTCCCTCCTCCCTCCCTCCTCCTCCTCCTCCCTCCTCCTCCTCCTCCTCCTCCTCTCCTCCTCCTCCTCCTCCTCCTCCCTCCTCCTCCTCCTCCTCCTCCTCCTCCTCCTCCTCCTCCTCCTCCTCCTCCTCCTCCTCCTCCTCCTCCTCCTCCTCCTCCTCCTCCTCCTCCTCCTCCTCCTCCTCCTCCTCCTCCTCCTCCTCCTCCTCTCCCGCGCCCCTCCGAGGAGGAGGAGGAGGACGATGCTCAGATCAAACGTGATGCAACATATGCGCGGAAAGGGGGCAGCGTTGCCTCCGCAGCGCGTAACTGCACTGCCTCCTGCCGGATACCCATCGAGACCCCATATCTCTCCTCGTCCACCACCTACCAGTAGAACAAAGCATGCACACACATCACTTCTCGGAGGTCCGCGCGGACCTCACAACATGTGCTTATGCATGCGTTTGTTGTTCGACCTACGTTGCCTCTTCCCTCCCTCCCTCCCATTGCCCTTTTCTCTCTCCCTCTCCTCCTCTCTCCTCTTAGTTTCCCCTACCGCGTCTCTACTTCCACCCCATGTGCGACAGGCGCTGGTCGCGATTGTTTATGGGTATATGAAGGGAGATTCGAGGACGGTGCACTCGCGATGCGTTTCCCGGAGCAAGTGGGATCGTTGAGAGCCAGACGTACGGCGTCTATGGAACGGTTCTGCGAGCAGAGAAATAGCAGGACATAGCATGCACCTAACTGCAGACTTGCACGTAAAGACGATACTGCATGTGTACACACGTACAAACTCGACCCATCACGCGCGCACGCTCTACCTGTCTTGGAACCCAGCGCGGCCGTCGCCACGGCCGGAGCTCCCTCGACCGTACCAGCAGAGCGCACTCCGTGGAGAGGTCCGACACCAGATTCGAGGAGTACTCGAGCAGCCGGCGTCACGGCACGATCGCAGACCCTCAGGGGCACGCTTCTCGAGAGCGCGCCCCAGCCAATCACAACAGACTTCGATCCCTCCCGCGTGGTCGAGGGGGTGCCGGAGACATGCCGCGAGGCCACAACGACCTACAAGGCCTCGCGGTGTGAGGCATGACGCCGCAAACAGCACGCCCTGGACGACTCCAGGGGCCTGGACGAAGACTGTATCACGGTTCTGAAGGTCAAGAGCCGCTCCACCCTCTCGAGGACGTGGAGACTGGCCGAGTCTCTGCGTGCCCAGCTCTGCAAGATGGAGACGGTCAGGTGCGCGATGTCCGTGGCCAACCAGCTGCGAGCGCCTCAGGAACTGCGGTAAACGACTACGAGGATTGCGCTTACCCTGGACGGCGACACGGGCTGGAGCGAAGGCAACCGAACTGAGGCCCGACTCCCACAACGCTCACAAGGAGCCGAGCTCGAAGGGGCCGCAGCCCACTACGTTGTCAAGTGGAGTGGAGGAGGCGCATCAGGACAACCTTCGCCCTGGAGAGCACCAGGAAGATGTACTCCCCGCCTTGTCGGGCTATGGCGTTCGGGCCCGACGCCGACGGCAGTGGGTCAAAGAAGCTGGGGGCTCCCGAAACAATGCGGTGACAGACCGTGCGATGACCTCGGGAGAGCCGTGAAGACTCACAGCACGATGCGTCACCGAACTGTTTTGGGCCCCTTGAGGCTCCTGTCGCCCGATATACGTCCTCTCGAAGAGCGACCCGATTCCAAAAACCGTGCTGCCACCCCGAATCCCCACTGACTGCCCACACGACCCCCCGAGAGGCGGCCAGCTACCTCCACAACGGCCCCTGCTGGAGGAGGGAGGGCGAGGAAGGGAGGAGGGAGGAGGGAGGAGGGAGGAGGAGGGAGGAGGGAGGAGGGAGGGGAGAGGAGGGAGGGAGGAGGAGGAGGAGAGGAGGAGGGAGGAGGGGGGGGAGGAGAGGAGGAGAGGGAGGAGGGAGGGAGGAGGAGGAGGAGGAGGGAGGAGGAGGAGGGAGGGAGGAGGGAGGGAGGAGGGAGGAGGAGGAGGAGAGGAGAGGGGAGGAGGAGGAGAGGGGAGGAGGAGGGCGGCAGGGTGCAGGCGCCGTGGGCTCGGCGGCGAGCGCAGGGCTGCCGAGGGGCCCGCCCCGGCCGGAGGGAGAAGCGGGAGGCCGGCGAGATCGCGCCTCGCCGAGCGCGCCCTTCGTCCTCCTCCTCCTCCTCCTCCTCCTCCTTCTCCCTCCTCCTCCCCCTCCTTCGTCGTCCTCCTCCTCCTCCTCCTCCTCCTCCTCCCTCCTCCGCCGATCGTGCTCGCAGAGTGCCTGCTCGCAAACGTCCGAAATATACACGTCGGTCGGGAGAATCAGGCAAAAACATAGAGTAGGAAGGTGGATAAAGTGGATCGGGTCCAGGCCCTCCCAGAGAACAATAGAACAGAGCAAAATCAGGTGGATTCTTGAAGTAGGAAGGCGCTTGAAGCAGATCGGGATCTGGGTATCCAAGAATACCTACTTCCAACGACCAGCGTGTATACATCCCTGGCAATGGTTTCTGACACAGCGGTGACCGTTCAACCTCGAACGATCGGCCGTTTCCGCAACGTCCGATCGTTCAACATCGACCGATTCTGGGTCGCTTGCGGCGTTCAAGGTTGAACGCCGGCGGCGGGGTCGCCGCTGGTCGACACGACGCGAACCTACCGTACATGTCTTCCTCTGTGTGCAGACAACCCGCAGAGTAAGGATGCGCGATAAGGATGCGAGGGCCTTGGACGCCCATCTCGAAGCTTCCCGAGCGGGGCGCGGCCAACGAAAGTGTCCAAGGATGGACCCAGGAAGCAAGGATGCAAGGGTACCCTTGGGAGGGATGCCTATCCTTACTCTGCGGGTCGACTGTAATATGTCGTAAATCTCCCGCTGCGGATCCAGGCGAGTTGCGAGTAGTGGATTTGCGAGTAGTGGAACGCGCCTGTCCAGTGTCGGGCCCGCACCCGAAGACAGGGAGGCGCTGCGCGTTGGGGGGGGGGGGGCCTCGTCCCGAGCTGCCCCGTCGCCCGCCGTCCCTCAGTGCTGCACCGGGCGTGCGGTGCGCCCTGCAGCGAGGGCGAGAAGAAAAGGAGGACCCACCCAAAATACCAACGATTCGGTCCTACCCGCAAGTCCCCACACGCGCCCGCATTTGGCTCTGCGCCATCACCGGCATCCATTGCACCCGCTACTGCCCGCTGTCTGCGTTGCGGAAGCGAGCGTCGTGCCAGTCTCGAGTGCCTACTGCGCCGGGGAAGGGCGCGACGGGCATCCGAGATCCTCGCGGGCTTCCTCTCGTAAGGTCGCACCGATGCGTCGTCAGGGCGCAGCTGTTCCAGCAGTCAAGAGTCTCACCCAGGGGGGTCCACCCGCAGGATCCCACCAGTGGGTCCCACGGCGACGGCCCCGCCCTTCGGATTCCACCGACCTGGTCCCACCCCTCGGGCCCCATCCATGCATGGCACAATGAACACTGCGCACAATGATTTGGGACCCGCTGCAACCCATTGACGCCACATGTTGCGCTCCAACTTGTACTTTCATGTTGGGATCCATACGGTGACATCATGCGGCCAAATGCTCATTACAACGCATGCTTTCCCACCCTCTATCGGCATACCCTCCTTTCCGTGCCTTCCTTCCCCAACCCTCCCATCAAACTCCCCGCATCCCCATCCCTCCCGACCCCTCCCTGCATCCTCTTCTCCTAACTGTCTGCCCCATCCGTCGCCCGTGCAACGTCCTTCATCCTCCCTCTTTTTCCTCCTCCATTCCTTTTCCTCATAAACAACTTCTCCCTGTCGCACCTGGAGGCCATTTTTTTGGGCGGGCCAGGCGTTTCGACTGAGACTTCCGCACCGCTTATGACGCTGAAGCTTAAAAACATGCAACAGCTTCACAGATGGAGGGCGGGTCGTTTTCAAAATGTGGCTCTCGCCCCAGCGCCGCGCACATTCATTCTTAGCATTTGCAAGAGTTTCATGTATTCAAGGCAGGTTGTTTTCAAAATGTGGCTCTCGCCTTAGCGCCGTGCACATTCTGTAAAAAACGCAAGAGTGTCACACATTGAAGGCGGTTCCTGCTCAAAGTGTGGCTCTCGCCTTAGCACCACGCACATTCGTTTTCAACATTCGCAAGAGCTTCACATGTTCCCATGATCAGCGTACCAGAAGTAGCGTTTTGGAAGGATTCAGGATTTGAAGGGTACAAAGATTGCGTTGATTCGCGGTGCTGAAGTCACAGGAAATGGCGTTCTGGCACGGTTCAGGATTGTCAAGACGCAGCAGTCAGGTTGATCCGTGGCGTTGGAATCCCGAGAACATTTTGACATGCTTCAAGGTCCCCAAACGGTTGTCTTCCAACGAGGCAATTCCCTCAGTAAAAATGAACCGTTGTAGGGGCCCATGAAGAGGGAGCTTGGAGGGAGGGTGTATTACAACGTCGTTGATGACTCTTGGGTTTACACTGGTCCTCCTCCTCTTCCTCGTCCTCCTCCTCCTCCTCCTCCTCCTCCTCCTCCTGCCATGGCCAAGATTGGTCGACGGAGTGACTTCGAGCACCTCGCCTCGTACTCCATCTGCTGCATGAAACTCCTGACCGCCTCGTAGTCCCCAGCCAGCTGGAACGGCTTGACCTCAGCAGCTCATGACATTCCCCCCATACTCTGACATTGAACTGTTACTTCGGCGGCGACGATAAGGGCGAATAGCCCAGGGCGGGCATTACACGTATTCGCCCGGGAGCCTTGTCGAAGACATAGATCATCGGCGCCCCTGGATACATGTATTGCTCCCCCACCAGGCTATTCGCCCCTACCGTCGCCTTAAATTACTGTGTTTGGGGTCACCTTTCTCTCCTCATGTTAAAGCATCGCGCTCTCCGTAAACAGAAAGTTTCATGATTGGTCCAGTCGCCCATGACCAGGGCGCGGTAGGTCGCGATGGAGGGCTTCATGCGCTCCGCACGCATCCTTTCCAGGACCTGCCGCGCGGCAGCCGCGTCCCCCACGCGCGCGCACGCGTTGAGCGTCACGTTGAAGCTGACCAGGTCTGGACGCACACCCAGCGCGGGCATGCGACCGAGCCACAAGCGAACGCGAGAGAGGTCGCCGAACGACGACCACGCGCGCAGGAGGCCGTTGAAGGAGACGACCTCGGCCTCTACGCCGTGGTCCCGGAGCATGTCCAGGAACCACCTCTCGGCACTGGCGGCCTCCGCGGCGGCGACGCACACGTTCACCAGAGCGTTGAGCGTGTAGGCGTTCGGCCTGACCCCACGCTCCAGCATGGCCTGCAAGCGCCGTTCCGCCTCGGGCAGGTCGGCGGCCGTCACGCACGCGTTGATGGCGGTCGAGTGGCTCACCACCGACTCGGGGACGTGTGCCCTGCGCATGGCGGCGAAGACGCGATCCACCGCTGCCAGGTCGCCCGCCTGCCCACAGGCAGTCAGGACTCCAGCGTGGACCCTCTCGTCGAGCGCGCAGCCCGTAACGCCAAGCCGAGCCAGCCACAGCTCCGCGCGAGCCACGTCGCCAGCGCGTCCCACGGCCTTGAGCAGCGCGCCGTAGGTGATAAGGTCGGGCGACACCTGTGACCAGGCGTTGTTAGAAGTGCCCCTGGCCCAAGGTGTAGGCCCAGGAGGCCCCAGGAGCTCCAGAACGGAGCGAAAAGCTGGGGGGACCGTGGGCCAGGGGCACCTTCAGCAACCACCGACGCGGAGGCGACCCCGCCGCGGGTGTTCAAGGTTATACGCCGCCAGTGGCCCAAAATCGGCCAACCTGGAACGATCCTGCGCTCGAAAAGCCGCCGATCGTTCAAGGTTGAGCGATTCACGCGGTGTCAAACGGAGCGAAAAGCTGGGGGGCCTTGGGCAAGGGGCACCGTAAGCGATCCCCGACGTGAGCGGGCGGAAGCATCGCCCAACCCCAGGACCAGCAGCGTACAGACGCCCCGACACCCTGCGGCTTCCCCTTAACTCGCCATCGATCGGACGTCCATTCCCCGTGCATGTTCCGATGTCGCGCGTGTATTTTTCCCAAAATGGCCCTCGCCCCCCCCCCAAAAAAATACACACGACCGAGCGATGCCAAATTGAGACTCGTGATCTGTGGTCGGGCCCCTCTGGCAAACCTGGACTTGCCCGGCCGTCCCGCCTTGTTCTTCAGCATCTGCCACAGCGAGCTCTCCGCCGCTCCGCAATCGCGGTCGCGGGCGTAGATGTCCAGCATCGAATTGTATATGGGGAGTGGGAAAGAATACCTGCGCCGCCCCCACCCCACCCTGCTCACCCTACCCAGATTCCCCCCCCTCCGTTCCGCGAGCTCAAACTTCCCTAAAAGCATTTGTTTTGTTCTACTCGGCCGAGACGATGCCAACTCGGCTGTTTCCGCCCTTAATTGCGCAGCGAGTTCGGGCAAAAACACAACTGTGTACAGATGCCGGACTTCTTTCGACTCTGTGGAACCGATGGGCGAGAAAAAAGCATGACAAGACAGATACAAACAAACCCCAAGCACCAAACCCTACAAACATCTTGTCAATACAACTCATCGATGTCTGTTCGGAGGAGCCGGATTGGGAGGGGACAGTGATCCAGAAACGGTCGGGCGCCGTTGCCTCCCGCTGTCTTCTGCTGTCTCCCGTCTGCTCCCTGCCTCTATCCCAGCCCCTGGGCCTCTATCCCCATCCCCATCTCTTATCTACCATCTCCAATCTACCAATCCCCATGCCGATCGATCCCTATCCACATCCCCGTCGCCTCGAACCCCTCGACCTATCAACGCTGCGCTGACAAATTACACTCTCGCACCAGAAGGCCCTAAACAGCTTTACACAATGACAGAGGGAGGAGGAGGAGGAGGAGGAGGAGGAGGAGGAGGAGGAGGAGAAGGAGGAGGAGGAGGGGGAGGAGGAGAAAGGGAGGCATACACGAAGACACCGAAAATGATCACGGAGGCAACGGGCGACAACGGGGGACAACAAGAGCGCGACGGGAGACAGCGGGAGACCGCGGGAGACAACGGGAGCAAACGAGAGAGGACGGGGTCAAGGAGACAGCGGGAGACAGCGGGAGACAACGGGAGACAACGGATGACAACGGAGGCCACCAGGCAACGACGGGAGACAACGGGTGACAACGGGAGACAATGGCACCCCAACGACATCAGATCATGGTCGCCCCGTACCTGGCTTCTTGGAAACATTGTACAGGACCCTTGCAGACGAGCTGTTGAGGGGAAGTCAGAATCCCGCAGTCAACGGATGTGGAAACGAATGCGAGCACTGAAGGGACAGGGGTGGGGATATAAGGCTGTGAATACAGCGATCGGGTTATATGGAGAACGATATGGATTTAGGACGTGAAGAGAAGGACGAGAATGGGCATAGAGACCCACATGTAAGGATCGGGAAGAAACGAGAGACAGCGGAAGGCAACGAGAGAGCACGGGCGACAATGTGAGACAACGGGAGACAATGGCGCCTGATTGACTCCGGATCACGGTCCTTCGCCGCTCGCTTCTTTTCAAGACGGAATATCTAATATAATAAACAATTACTGTATATATATATACAAACTCGACTATTCGGATTCTTGCAGGCAAGCTGTTTAGCAGTTGCACGCTACATCCTCCAGACCAGGTTGCAGCATTTTTCTCGCAATCGGGCGTTTGCACTTAGGGATTCCTACCTGTGGTCTAAAGAAGTGGGCCTGGATGGCGATCTGGCGGCTATGCTATGTTGCCACCGTCGCGGATCGTCGCCGACTCGTCGCCGCCTGTCGCCTGGGCCAGGGTGGCGTACAGCGCTGATTGCACCACATAGATTGCGCACCACCTAGGTTGCACCACATCGATTGCACCACCTAAGTGCCACATCATGGATGTCGCGACATATATTGCACGCATGCTATTCTCCTTCTAAGAACAGAACAGACTCTACCCCCCCAGAGTTAACGGTCCCCCCTGGGGTACTGCGATTTCAAATTCAAATTTATTTTGCACAATCGTCCACCCTACCTGTGAACTCATACTATCCCAGCCAGGCCGGTATCACTCCCCCCCGCTATCCTTTGCAAATAATACTATGCGCGAACATTGTTTATCAAAAATCATAAGTTTTCAAAAATCCCTTGCAAAAAATGTGACGATTTGCACACGCGCGCGCCGCCGCGCGCGCATGCCGAAATCCTTCGAAAACTCTCGATGTCGGAAGGATGTCAAAATCGAGCTCCCCAAAAACATAGAAAAAACAGGGTTTCGCAACACTGATTTGCTAAGAATACTTACGCGCGCGCTCTTGCGAAATTTTCATATAACCATATGTTGTTCAACAGTTTCAAGAAATACTACCAAACGGGCTTCAAGCGCGCGCGCGCATGTCGAAATCTCTCGAACGCCCTTGCGCGCGTGCCGTCGCGAGAATCCGGTGCAACAAATAAACGAAGTGCGCACGCGCGCGTCGTCGCGCGCGCATGCCGAAATCCTTCAAAAACCTTCGATTTCGGATAGATTTCAAAATCGAGTGTCCAAAAAACATACAACCACACAAGGTTTCGCAACACGGATTTTCAACAAAAGCGTGTGCGCGCGCTCTTGCGTCGTCGTCGTCGCTGTTCTCCCTCCTCCCTCGTCGTCGTCGTCGTCGTCGCCGCCGCCGTCGTCCTCTGTCTATCGTCTTGGCGTCGGCGTCGTTTCCGTCGTCGTTGTCGCCGTGGTCGTCCTTCCTCTCTCGTCGTCTTCGTCGGCGTTTCGTGGTTGTCCCTCCTATTCCGTCGCGTTCGTCGTCGTCGTCGTCGTCGTCTTCCCTCTTCCCTCGTCGTTGTCGTCGTCGGCGTCGCCGTCCTCCTTCCTTCTTCGTCGTTCGTCGTCGCCGTCCTCCCTCCTCCCTCGTCGTTGTTGTCGTTGCTGCCGTCGTCGTCCTCTCTCCTCCCTCGTCGTCGTCGTCTCCGTTGGCGTCGTCGTCGTCGTCTTCGTCGTCGTCGGCGTCGTCGTCGTCGTCGGCGTCGTCGTCGCCGTTGTCATCGTCGTCGTCGTCGTCGTCGGCGTCGTCAGTGCCATCGTCGTCGTCATTGCAGTCGACGTCGAAGTCGTTGGAGACGTCGTCGGTGTCGTAGTAGTCGTTGTCGGCGGCGGCGTCGTCGTTGTCGCTGTCGTCGTCGGCGTCGGTGTCGTTGCCAAGTGCCATTTGGTACCCACCGTCACGGTCTTAAAAGGTCTTGCGACCAAGTTGCGGGTGGGAGGGTGGAACGTTTGCACGAGCAGTGGAGAGGACAGCTTCAAATTGAGCAAGTGATTCATTGCACACAGTAGATTACACCACGTATATTGCTACACCTGGATCGCACAACACATATTGCTAGAAGCACACTGTGAGGGGTCCATGTTGGTTAACATTGTCGTGTTAATTCAGCGCGCGCGCGGCAGGCTGCCTTTGCGGAGCCTGCCGAGGAAACTAGTTGCGAGATCGTTTGGAGTCAAATCTCAAAGCCAGTCAAGCCACCCCTCGGACACTTGCAACGGGGACAGTGTTGAAGACCGCCCAGGATGCGCTGGGCAGAACTCTACCAGAGGCCCCCAGCACGGTGGCGACATTTCCGACAGCCGCATGGATACAATAACCACAGGATGGGTAAATTGCCAGAGGGCCCAAGAGGTGTCCCCGAAAGATTATCAGGATGCTGCAAGATGGATCCCAAGCCACAATGATTCTGGATGCGCCGCACGTTTCTTGAGCTGGAGCTGTGCAACATTGTGGCGCCTCGTAGGGCGTCTTGGGGCTCTCTTTTAACTTTTTGGGGGCCCGTCAAGCATGACGTATCTTAGAAATTTCTTGTCGCCGTCTGAGGCGTTCGGGATATTTTCGAGAACCTGCTGTGACTGCGACGCCCTACTGGTGTGACTCTGAAAACGTCAATGCGACAGGACCACGAGGATGCCGGAAAAGGGTGCAAGTCCCTGAGACGCCCAACTTTGAGCTGAAGTTTGAAGTCCATGGCCAATAGCCGAGGAGTACGAGCTAGGATGGGCTGAGAGACCAGGATTCGAATAGAGGATCGACGACAGAAATGATTTAACCAAAATTTGGTGTTCCGTCGAACCTACGAAAAGTAACTAGAATGTTCAGTAGATCTACCGAACATTCTACGTATTTTCGTAGAGTCGACGGAAAACCCAATTTTGGGAGTAAATCAATTCTGTAGTCGATCCTCCACTCGAGGGATGCAAGTGCGCACTTGCCGGACAGACACTCGTCTGCATGCCGCGGATTGACTGCATGGGCTGTTCTGCAGCCGTTCTGACCTCATCTTCTGGCCGCCAGGGAATACTTGCGACAACGAGAACGGCGGGCGGTCGACGCGAAAGGTCTTGACAAAACATGCTTGCCTGCCGTCTGGCCAGAAACCGCCCGGAATCGATCACCGGACCGCTCCCGGACACAGTCTGGAGAAGTGCTGTCGAGCCGCGCCAGTCCACCCATGGGAGGTGGGCGCGCCAGCAGTCCAGGGAGACAGGAGCGAGAGAGCGCCAGGACCCGCAGGCCGACCCCATCCTGCCCGTGGCTGCGGGATGCTCGACCCCAAACCAAAAAACAGCATGACTGCCAATGTTGGGCACAGGTTGGCAACCCTCTGTCGCGGTATGGTTCACAACGAGCCACGTCTACATGCCACTCCTTGACAAACACCCTACCCCGATTTGTGGCCGCCACGATCGCAGCGTCGACCTCAAAAACGGACCAGGAGATTTGGTTCGGGGTCGAAAATCACGCGTAGATCTCCGCCCCAGGTGGTCGTGGCAGGTGCATCTTCTCACTCCCTGGCATGTCACAAGGCCAGGCTCGATCTGGCCCGCCCGCATCTCTGCCAGCAGCCTCTCCGCGCGCTTCACCTGGAGCACCTGCGCGCAGCCCCGAAAGAGGGTTGCGTACGTCGCCTCGTTCGGCAGAACATCGGAGTCGCGCATCTGCGACATGAACTGCTCCGCCTTGTCGAGCTGGCCCTTCTTCGCAAAGCCGCCGACGATGGCCGTGTGCGTGAAGCTGTCAGGCATCATGCGCGACCACCTCCGCATGGCGTACATCTGCGCCAGTGCCTCCTTCAGGTCGCCAGCCTGAGCATGTGCATTGATGACAGCATTGAAGCTGCTGCTGTTCGGGCGCAGCGAGTACTTGCGCAGCATGTCGAAATAGTGTTGCGCCATCTGTGGGTTGCCCAGCTTCGCATAACAGTCGATCATGCTGTTGAAGGCGACGACGCTCAGCTCCTCCTCCTGTAGCATGCGAGAGAACCACGTACCCGCTGCAACTGTGTCGCCTTACTGTGCACGGTTCAGTGGGAATAATTAAAACCGACAAAATCCCTGGACCCCCCCCCCGGACGACCCGGACTAACCCACTCTGACGTACGATGACAAGACGAACTACCCCGGACAACCCCTTGGACAACCCAGCGGGAATCTGGACAATCCCACCTGACACCCCCCCTGCGACAAGCCTCTCAGGACTTTTCTCCCCTAAGGGAAAGTATTCATGATCTCGGATCGCCAGTGAACGGTGCCTTCATCGATCTCTTCCTGATCGTGACGGTCGAGCTGCGGGTTCAGGTAAACGCGCGTAGCGCTCCAAGCGAAGAGCCGTGCGCCTTCGACCAGCTCGCGAGCACCAGGATCGCGCGACTCCCCCTCCGCCTCCTCCCTCGCCCCCCCTCTCGATGGCCTTCGACACGTGAGTTGGCGCCAACGTGTGCCTGTCCACCGAAGCGCCTCCATACGACGCAGGCGATGTGCTGACGGCCGACAGGCTGTATGCTATCGGTGGAGCTGAACGGGGTAAGCACACAGTGGGCCAACGCTGGACGAAGCAGCAACTACACAAATCCGCCGGCCCTGTCGGCGTGTGGAAGAGGCTGTTCCGTTTGACTCGTCGTCGTCGACGTCGCCGCTCCCTCTCTTTCCCTGGGTCCATCGCCACCTTCGCCTTTTCCTGGTCCCTCCTCCTCAAGCGCGCAAGCCAAAACCAAATCGAACAACGTCGTAATTGAGTCGAAGGGAACCTCCCTTCCCTTGGATCCCTTCCCCGCTAGGGGGGGGGTCCCGGGAGGGGCTCCCAGGGGGGTCCTGCGGGGATCCCCGGGGGGGGTCAGAATGCCACCCCCCTCTGGGGGGTCCCGAGGCCCAAAAAAGTCCCAAGACGAGCCAAGAGTGCTCCAAGAGGGCCTCAAGACGGTCCACGAGGACCCCGAATCGCGGAACGATCGGTCCACGACGTCTTCATGGCCTCCAGACGGCCCAAGAAGGCTGGAAGACGTCCCAAGAGGCCTCGAAGAACACTCCCAAGAGAGCCCCAAGAGGCAAACATGTTTGATTTTCCGTTCAGTTTTTCATTTGGGCGTTCTTGCCTCTTCAGCTTCCCTGAACTCCAAAACGGTCCAAGAGGCTCCGACGATCACCCCAAAAGGCCTCCAAGAGGGCCCCGAAACGGGCCAACAAGGGCCAAGACGCCTGCAAGACGGCCCAAGAGGCCCTTAAGAGGGCCTCAAGAGGGTGCCCAGACAGGGGAACCAAATTGTCATTCCGAGCCCTCAGCCCCGAGAGGCTCCCAGGAGGCCCCCAGAAGCGTCCAAGAGGCTCCAAGAGGCCCCCAAGAGGCCCCCAGGAAGCCCCCAGAGGCTCCCAGAAGGCTCCCAAGAGGCCTCCAAAACGCTCCCAGGGGCCCCCCCAAACTGCCCACCAGAGGCCTCCGAGAGCGCTCCGAAGAGACCTCAAACAGGATCCCTGAGGACGCCGACCCACGTCAGCGCCGCCGTCGTCGTCGCCGCCGCCGCCCCCCTTCAGGGTCGGCGGCACCGGCCGTAAGGCCCTCGCAACATGAACGTTCGACGGCCCGCGCGGACTTCGTGGATCAGCCCTTGACCCCCCTCCCTGGCGCGCGGAGTTGACTACCTACCAGACCACCCCAACCCAACCCAAAGACCCGAATTTCGGGTTGGGGGGGGTAAGGGTTCCACATGTGTTTTTTCGACGTTTCCCGACCCCCCCACCACTGGAAATCGAGGGTAAATCTGAGCCTTCGGGTTGGGTTGGGGTGGTTTGGTGGGTGGTGAGGAGCGCACCAGGGGCGGCGCCGGCTGCGCCGCCAGGGTGGTCCAGCGCAGATCCGAGAAATCCGCACGGACCGTCGAGCGTCTACGTTTGTGCCGTGCCGTCTTCTTACGGCAGGTTCGTGTCGTGCCGACCCCAGCGTTGGTTTTTGACACCGCAGGGATCGTTCAACCTTGAACGATCGGCCGCTGCCGCAACGTCCGATCGTTCAACATCGATCGATTCTGGGTCGCCGGCGGCGTTCAACCTTGAACGTCCGCGCTGGGGTCGCCGCTGGTCGACACGACGCAAACCTACCGTAGAAGCACACGCCCCGAGGATCATCGACCCTCCCCCGCTGCCGAGCCCGCCGCGAGCTGCGACGCACGCCGCGATCATGGAGGAAAAGCTCACCGGGTCGGGCTGCAGGCCCGCGCCACGGATCTCGTCGAACACCCCCGCGGCCCTCTGAACGTCGCCCGAGGCCGAGTAGGCCGCGATCAGCGAGTTGTAACTGACGACGTCCGGCGCCACCTCCCGCCGGCGCATGTCCCCCAACCACCTCTCCGCGCCGCGCAGGTCCTCCGCGCTGCAAAGACTTGGTGGCGCGCACGAGGGGGTTAGGGGGAGGGGGGAAGGCCTCTCAAAAAGAGGCTGCTTCTGTGAAGGCGCCGGCCTCACATCCGTAGGTAAGGCCCGCGCCATCTAAGAAGCAGGGGTGCTGCTAAGAAGCCTTTACCCCCTCCCTCGTACACCCCGCACCGCCCTCGGCGCGTGGCCGGAAGACAGCGTGCAACACCGACCACGGACGAGCGCGCTCTCCCCGTGGGGCGATCGCCTCGCGAGTGCCCCTTCCGCACACGCCCGTCCCCTGCCAGGGCTTCTACGGCGCACGCCGTCCCCGAGATGTGGGACCGCGTGTCATCGGCGGGCACGCGGCGCCACACCGCACGCTGCTTCTGCAGCGTCGGACGCCCATGGAAACCAGGGCAGGGACCAACTCGGACAGGGATGGATCGGAGATCTCTGAAACCCGGCGACTCTGGAGGACTGAAGGGGCCCTGGGACGCACAAGTGAACACACAAAAATAACAGGATTCCCCGTATTCTCATACTTCCTGGGTTTTTGTCTTCCCCCCCCCTTCCAATATTTTCCCAGATCTTCCCGGGGATCGACGATTAATTGTGTCTGTGACGTTTTCTCCCCTCCTGAGTATACCGGCCGCGGCGTGCTTTTTTTTTTGTTCGCAAAATGACCCAGGATGCTCCTCGATGGCCCTCGCCGAGAAAAAATGCACACGTCCGAGCGATGCCAGGCAGAAAGCGAAAACAGGGCACAAAATTAGCAGCATTGGTGCCGTCCCCTGCTGTACATCATGGGTCAAGGATGCAATAATGGAAGAGAGGGAAACGGAGGAGGAGGAGGAGGAGGAGGAGGAGAAGGAGGAGGAGGAGGAGGAGGAGGAGGAGGAGGAGGCAGAGGCAGAGGCGGAGGAGGAGGCGGAGGAGGAGGAGCAAGAGGACGGAACCCAAGACCGCCAGCTTGAGCCCGAGAAGGAGGAGGAGGAGCCCAGACATGCGATGGCCTGATTTTTCAACATGCCCCGCCCCCCCCCCCCGGAATTTGCGACCCGCTCGAGCCGAACACGTCTTTGGCGGTGCCGCACACCCAGGTCATGGCGCTGTGCACCACCCCGGACTGCATTTTTCTGCGCTTTTCGAGCTCGATCGACCTGCGGGGGCCCCTGGGACTCGAAATACAATCGCACCGCCAAGATCTGCAGGTGCTCTGCTTCATTGGCGTTGCCGCGCGCCCGGACCGTGGCGCTGTGCACCGGCTACGAGTAGGGGGAAAACAAACCTCCCTCGCTTTTGACCACCCTCGCTTCCAAGAGATACCAAACGATGCCAAATTGCAGCCTGTACTGATCAGGCCGCTTGACGAGGAGGCGCGTGGTATGGCTTGGTTTTGCCTGGAAGCGAAAGCGGGGTAGGTAATTCACGCTCTGAACGAGGGCCGAGGCGAAAACAGCCGTGGCGACGAGGGCCTCCCAGGAGGCCCACAGATACGAAACCGTGGCGAGGGCAGCGGCATCGGTACCTTTCCCTGCTCTGAACCCAACACCACCAGCCCGAGCCTCAGGAGCAGACATGCGATGCCTTGATTCTTCGGGGGCGCCACTTCCCAACGAGCTTCGTCACTGCACCGCGCGGGACCAGACCATGCACGAGCTTCTCTGCTCGAGCGCGCGCGAGCCGACGAGGCAAGGGCAAGCGGTATCAGTGCTCTGCCCCGAGTCCTACGTTGTTTCCATCCTACTTAAGGACCGCATCCCAGAAACAATTCCGAGCACCCGAAGAGGTGTCGAAAGAGTGTCGAAAGAGTGTCGAAACAGTGTCGGACGAGTGTCTCCCAGGGCCCGACACGTGAAAACCCTTGAGTTCCGGCACTTCTTTGGGCGCTCGAGATTCTTTCTGGCGATCCAGGCTACAGAAGGTTGGAGCATCATAGCCCGAGTCCTTGGCGCCGGCGCACACCCGGATCATGGCGTTGTACACCGGGTGCGAGGCCTCTCGGGAGCGGCCAAGAGGGGGGTGTCCAAGAGGGGATGGTGCAAATCATGACCGGCGGCATGTGCGCGGCCCAGCGGGGGGGCCTGGGCCGTAATGAAATAAGAAGAGGCGCCATGAAATCTGAGGAAAAATCATGGCCCGCGCCATGAAATCCACCCCCCCCTAGTCATCACCCCCCTCTTTTCCGCTCCCGAGCCTCCACGCCCGCCCTCCGCATCGCGGCAAAGTGCCCCTCCGCGCGCGGCAGCGCGCCGCCGCCCGCCGCGGCCGCGCCGCGCCTCGGGAGGCGCGTCGGCCCCTCCGCTCGTCGCCCCCCGCCCCGGCGCCTCTCTCTCCTCGCTGGGAGGCGTCGGACTGGGACTTCGGCCCTCCCCCCTCGGCGCCAGAGCGCTCGAGGTCTGCGTCCCGGGGGAGCTCGGGGTCGCTGGGGGCCCTCTCCTGCCAGCCCCCCACCGCTCCAGGGCGTGGATTTCGGACGTGCCAACTTGGAGGTCCTTGGGCCATCCTTGGGGGATCCCTCCTGCGGCCGGTCTTTCTGAACGTTACCGCTACGGGAAGGAAGATGGGGGGGCCGGGGGGGGTAACATGCGCTGCCCCCGGAGGCAATCAGTGTAATACTAATCATAGTAATAGTAGGGCGCGAACAATAATAATCATACTATTAGCAATGGCAGGGGTGATACGAATGACCATCATCAGGGTGATGATGATAACGCTTCTACTCTTGAAACCAAGATAGCAGCTACGATTGATACTTGGCCCCGTGAATATCAAAGTTCGGTCTCGCCGCCCCCCGCAGCCGACCAAGAGTGTCTTGTCCGGGGAGAACCAACACCGGTGACTTCAGGGGCGGAGGTTGGGGCGTGAGGTCGAAGTGGAACGCAGTGGCCCTCGGCGGGAGATCTGTTTCGGCTTCGGGTTCATGCCGCGCGTGCGTGCGAGGCGACGCTGCGTGCGCGGGCGGGCGAGAGCAATGACTCCGATGTGGCTAGGGCGGGCTCAAGAGCCGTTGACCGCCCCTCCTCCCTCCCTGGTGGGCGGGCGGTGGCCGGGTTGTCCCGCCGTGGTGCTCTGTCGCTTTCCGCAGGGGGGAATATATATATATATATATATATATATATATGTAGAGAGAGAGAGATAATCAGAGATACAGACAAACATAAATCCGGGACACTGGGTGACTGTAGAGCACTCTGGAAGTTCAGGGTCCTCCCCCCCTCCGCTGTGCCCTTGTCCTCCTTGCGCTCCCCGCTCCCTCCGCTCCAGCTCCTGCGGCTGCTGGTCGTCCTCCTTCTCATCATTCCTGCTGCTCCTTCCTTTCCTCCTGCCCATCCTGCCGCTCATCTTCCTGATCATCCGCCGCCTCCTCCTCCTCCTCCTCCTCCTCCTCCTCCTCCTCTCCTCCTCCCTCCTCCTCCTCCTCCTCCCCCACCTCCTCCTCCCCTCCTCCTCCTCCTCCTCCTCCTCCTCCTCCTCCTCCTCCTCCTCCTCCTCCTCCTCCTCCTCCTCCTCCTCCTCCCCTCCTCCTCCCCCTCCTCCCCCTCTTCCTCCGCCTAAGTACGCCGTTGTCCTCTTCTGATTGCGCCGCACCAGGCGGCGTCTGGGGGGGGGGTTCCAGGTCCGCGTTGACACGCGGCCGCGGATGGAGAAAAAATCAACGCAGTGGGAAGGGGCATCAGATGTGGGTGGCGCGAGCGAACCTCAATTGCGCCCCCCGCCGTCTCCCAATCCCCCCCCCCTGTCCTCCTCATCCATCCTTCCTCCTCCGTGTCCCTGGGAGGAGGACTGGTCCCTCCCCGAGGAGGACGCCCAAAACAGGGACAAGATCGGACAGTGGCAGATCGGGAACCTCCGAAATCCTCCGGTTCTGGAGGATGTAACAGGCACCGCGGCCTTTTCAGAGCGTCCAGGAACGGCCTGAGAGCGCTCCGAAAACGCTAAGGCACGATGTATTCCTGTCCTAGCCCAGCCCGATATTCCCCTCCCATCCTTTCCTCCCGTTCCCCTTCTCTGGTCTCCATCCCCGGGGATCTTCCGACCCGGATCAATCCAAACCCAGGTCAGCCGGGCCTGGCAAGATCCTGCAAGATCCTGCAGAATCCTGCGCCCAGACCCCAGTCAGTGCAGCCCTGGCCCTGCAGGATCCTGCAAGATCCGGCGCTCTGGCTGACCCCCGTTTGCCTTGACCCCCGTCTCTTGAGCCCCGACCTCCTGGTCCCTTCGGCCTCCCGTCGACTGGGAACCGCGAGGCGGATACAGTCAACCCGGATAGCAAGGATGCGCGATAAGGATGCATGGGCCTTGGACGCCCATTTCGAAGCGTTTCGAGCGGGGCGCGGCCAACGAAAAGTGTCTAATGATGAACCCAGCAGGAGGCAAGGATGCAAGGGTACCCTTGGGCGGGATGCCTACCCTCACTATGCGGGTCGTCCCGTCGACTGGGAACCGGGAGGCGGAGAGGACCAGGCCGAGGGAGAGGCAGCCGCGGGTCCCCCCCGCGCCTGGTCGCGATGTCGCAGGAGCGGATGACCGCACAGTAGCTGTAGGCGTCCGGCGCAGGGCCCTGGCCGTCCATCTCGCGCAGCACCCTGGACTTTTTGCCGTGGACCGCTGCAGGTGGGGCTCCCGAAGGGACTAAACGGCAGGAGAATAAGAGGTTGGCGGGCTCACACCGCCCACCCCGAACATTCAAAACCAACTGCGTGACCAGCGCGCACACTGCAAAGCCGATGCGACTGGCATGAGCGACCAAGCTCGTGCCAGGACCAGCCGAGGAAGCAGCACGCATGGCGGGGGCCACCAGCCACGGGTAGGGTTAGGTCGGGCCTGTCCCCCATACAAGGGGTTTTTGGACGAAACATTAAAAGTACTCAAAACATAATCCAAAGATGACCAAAAATGATCAAAATAAATACCCAAATTATTTTTTCACTATTTTTGAATTTCCCTCCTGTGGAGGGACACGCCCGACTTAAGGGTAGGGGGAGGAAGGGGGAGAGGAGAGGGTGGAGGAGCAGGTAAGGCTGACACTCGAGGCAGATCCCGAAGCAACACCCCCACAGGGTTCGCTCGAACGAATTGCGCACAACGATCGGTGGGTGAACTGTGCTGGCCCTGTTGACCACCCCGGGGTACAAATGACCGATGAGGTTCTGAGGCTGAGAGCCTTGCTCGAAGATAGGCCAGGACGAACGCGCTGAATTGGTGGTGTTGGCGGCCGCCGAGCGTAGCAACGAGATAACACCTGCCGCCACATCCAATCACTAAGCAAATCCCGCATTGGCAGCTGATCCCATGGCATGTTCGTTCGAAACACATGTGCTTTAGGCACTGTTGCATGTATGCTGAAAAAGATGCGCGCGCACTTAGGACCAGGGACAAACATTGTTCGACGACTGGCCACCCAGACTGCATTACCACCGCCATCCAAGAACCTGCAGTAATCTATCCACGCACGCGAAATCAAAGTCGGCTGGATCACATCTCGCGTCACCTTTGCGCTCTGGCTGAGCCATTACAAGCTCAACTTGGAACGGGGCGATGCCACCCTTGCGCTAGTCGCTGCGCCGTCCCTCTCGCCGTACCGTCGAGATGGAAAACACATGTACAATCATCATTCTACCAGGGGGAACGCCGAATGAGGATCGAAGGGGCTTTTCTGGCCGCATTAAGCCTCGACCAAGAACAGGTTCCACGACCTCGATCAAAGGAACGGCCCGAAAATCAGAGCCCCATCCAAGGCCCCAAGTGGTACTTATTTCAGCGTCTTGACGATAAATGTGTACCACGGGCACACCTGCAAGGCTGCGTGAGATTGCACTGGCAATTGCCCTATGTTGGCCAGATCTCCCTGCCACAGGCACGAGCATTTCGAATTGACGAGTGCCCGACCTGTGCGCGGGGGCGTGCACTGACGTACGGACGGCCTGATCAAAGACAGCACATGGCGTGTTCCTCTTCGCTCCACACAGGCGCGTCGAGCAGGGGGATCGGCGGGGGGATCGGGTCCCACGTTTGGGGCTGCGACGGTGGCGGAACGGTGTGCAGTGGTGGTGGCTGCCACGTGTTGCACCGCGACCTCGGGAGCCCTACTCCGTCAGCAGCGGGGTGACCGACATGCGCGGATTGCCGCGGGCAGGGACGCGGGTGCTCTACCGAACGATGCAAATACGACGTTCGCTCCCCGATCGAAATTGGAAGCAGCCCTGGGCCCAAAGCTCGGGCATTGCGCATCTCACTGGGCATCAGCATTCCACAGACAGCCTTGACTATCGCATGAGCACGCGACAGCGCCGATTACCTGCCATGCGCGGTGTGTAATGCAAACGACGGGTTGTAGATGCTTGGATGTTGGTCTGTACCAGACGTGCTACTGATGGCCACACACACTGTGCGAGTAACTATTATTACCACAACCGTCGTGGTGTGTGCGTGTGTGCGTGAATGCAGTCGGCTCCTGCACACCCCATGTCAACGAGAATCTTATCTCAACAAGGATCCCTCACATGCACTACAACCTCGCTTGCCACATACACTATTTCGGTGTGACGGGCGGCCCTCAAGACGGGTTATAGTTCGAACTTCAGAGCAAACGACCCTTACTCACATTAGGGCTTCATCAAAGCGTTTTGTTGGCAACTATCCCATAGTCCATAACAATGTCCTTGCGATCCACCGGCGTAAAATTACGCAGGCTACGATTTGAGCGGGCAGAAGGAGGCGATAGGCCGAGGTGGGCGAGCAGGAAGAAGGAAGGACAAAGGGGGGGAGGGAGTGGACATGAGTGAGGAGGAGCATGAAGAGAGAAAGGAAAGATGTGGAAGAACAGCAGCAACACCAAAGGCACGACAGCAGCCGCGAGGAGTGGTGGGACGCGGGCATTGGTGGTGTCACCGAGCTCTGTGGTCATGATGGCTGGCCTCACTACCACTCTGAGGCAGGACAGCCCAAAATATGCGTGTGAGAGAACGGCAGAAAAGCTGAGGCGAGGGAGGAGGAGGAGGATGATGACGAGGAAGAGGAGAAGGAGGAGGAGGAGGAGGAGGAGGAGGAGGAGGAGGAGGGAGGAGGAGCACGTCAGCGGAGAGGGGAGGGGAGAGGGCGGAGGGGCAAGCTAGGTGCGCTCGCCCCATATATGACATCCTACCCTCGCCGCCCCCCCCTTCATCACACGCCCCCTACGCGACGCCCAACATCTCTTTGAAGGGGCCCCAGGACACACAAATAAATACACACAAATAAAAAGGTCCCCCATATTTTCCTATATTTTTGGGTTTTTTGTCTTCCCCCCCACTTCCCATATTTTTGCATATTTTCCTGGGAGTCGACGATTAATTGTGTCTGTGTGTTTCTTTCCCTCCTGACTCTTGGCGGCGCATCTTCTGTACTCCTCGGGCCTCCGCCGGCGGAGCCGCCTCCGCCCTGCTCCCGCCAGCTCTTCCGCCGACCTCTTCCGCCGCCCTCCGCCGAGGCAGAGATGGCAGCTCCTTCGATCCTCGAAGGCCGAGGCCCTTTCTGGAACGCCTCCACTGTAGAGGGGAGGGAGTCTGGGGATGGAGGCGGCAGGCAGGGGGCCTCTCCGCCGCGTCCACGTCGCCGGCGTTGGCGCAGGCGTCCAGCAGCGTGTTGTACGCCTGCAGGTCGGGCTCGAAGCTGGCGCCGCGCATCTCGTCGAGCCAGCGCTCGGCGAGCTTGGCATCCCCGGCCTCCAGGCGGGGGCACGCATTCGATTGATGCCGTGGCCACGGTCCGCGGCAGCGCGGCGCAGGGCAAGTCAGGCGGAGAGCAACGCGCGGTCCGGGCCAGCTCACGATCTAGAGCAGCACACCTCGCAGCGTCGCGCTCAACGCGCGCGGCGGTGCGGCGCAGGGCAAGCCAACGGAGAGAAGCGCGCGAGCCTCGCCAGCTCGCGCAGAGCGGGGTGCCCGAAGCGCACACACACACATGCACGGGTCCCTCGGAGGGCCCTCTGGGAAAGCTGTCGACAGGCCCATAACGCCTTGAGGTGGTGAGAGGCCAGCGGGGGCGCCTCCGCCCCGACGGCACCGTGGCACCAGAGATCTCTCGGGCCTGTGACTGCGGGAAGGTGCTGACCAGCCTCACGAGGGACAGTGCTTGCGAATTGGATGCGCCGAGAGTTCTGGTGGGCTGCGTGGGCGAGGCCGCTCTGATGCGCCGGGCACTGTCGAAGTGGAAAGGGCAGCTAGGAGACAGCCATCAGCGCCCAGGATCACTCAGTATATATGTATATGTAAATGTGTATATATATATATATATATATATGCATCTGCATGTACATACATATATATATATATACATATATATAACCATAGTGTGATATCGGAGTCATGAGATGGGCGACGCACTTCCGCACGAGATGGACAGTAGGAGGTGGGAGATAGGAGGCAGCAGGTGAGCACGATCGCGCAGGACTGTGGCAGTTCTGGGCGATGGTGGTGCAACAGCGGCGCCCGCGACCTTCCGAGCGCCACCCCTAGAACCAGCGCCCCTCTCAGACATCCACGGAGTGTCCTTAGGTCTCGGGCCCAATCCTCCAAGCCTCAATGATCCTCACTCCCGAGGAGCCTTTGAGGGTTCGGACTCCACATCCTCAAGTCTCCCCGGGCTTGTCGCGTCTCGTCGGGGGCTTGTCTCGTCCTCTCGCGTAGCTTTTTCGGGCCCAAGAGGACCAAAGGGTGGGCCAAGAGGCTCCCAAGACAGTCCCGAGTCGCCGAAAGATCGGTCCAAGACGCCCAAGATGGCCCTAAGACGGCCAAAGAGGCCTCCACGACGTCCAAAAAAGGCCTCCAAGAGGCCTATCGAGAGGGCCGGGCCCCAAGAGGCAGCATCCATGTATGTTTCTTGGGAGTTTGAAGTTCTTGGCGTCCTCGCCGTTTCGGCTTCCCAGAGCTCCACGACTAGGGAGCCCACCAAGGACGTACGCGCCGTGCTATGTACATGAACACGGCCCCTTGACCCGCAAGACCGGCCGCGTGATACGAATATTCGCGCAATGCGAAATCTCGAAAACAGCGTGGATTCATGTACGTGTACGTCCTTCTTTCGCTCCTGAACGACGGCCCACGAGGCTTCCGAGATCGCCCCCAGGGCGGCCCCAGGCCCCAAGTGGGCCCAAAGACGGCCCAAGAGGCGCCCAAGACGGCCCAGGAGAGCCCGCGGGCCCCAAGGGGGGGGCCAGATGGGGGACCCGAACGGGCACTTCGAGCCCTCGGGCCCGAGGGGCCCCCAGGAGGCCCCAAGAGGCCCCCAAGAGGCCCCCCAGAGACCCCAAGGGGCCCCCGAGAGGCCCCGAGAGCCCCCCAGGAGAGACGCCCCCAAGGGCCCCGGAACTGCTCCCGAGAGCCCCCCGAGAGCGCCCCGGAGAGACCAGACGAAGCTTCCCCGAGAACTCTGACAGACAACCCAAGCACGCTGGCGAGATGGACCGAAGGTCATCCGATACGGAGGCAAACAGAGACAGAGAGAGGGAGAGACAGAGAGAGAGAGAGAGGGAGAACAATAAAGAAGTACATACACAAACATATAGTGGTCATCGGGCAAATAATCATCATATCACTAACACAACTACGAATAGCACTAGCAACACTAAAAACACAACTACTACGACGAACATTAAGCATACAAATGCTACTACCAATAAACATATAACTAACAATACAAATACGAGTGCTAGCAATATGAATATTAATAGTGCAACGAAAATGGTTAATCCTGATAAGAAATATAGAAAATAACACGGGTAAACATAGTAGTAGCACTACGACTACTAAACGTATATTACAATTCAACATAGAAATGGTACGAACACTAATACGATCACCATCAGTACATCACCATACGAATAATGGCCATACAAATCACCATCAGTACATACTAAGATAATTTTAATAATGCAAGATGAGGGCACTCATAGTAAGCAGAGTAACCACAAAGAACAGACGAATAAACAAGACGCCGAAGGCAACTGATGCCCTGTGACGGAGCCCTGGCGCTTCTGCGAATCGACGCCTCGAACTGGGCCAGCGTCGTCGTCGTCGTTCTCGTGACAGAGCCTTGGCGCACTTGCGCATCAGCGCCCCGAACTGGGCCAGCGTCGTGGGCGTTGACTGCACAGCCTCTGAGGCAAATCAACAAGTACCGATACCGCTACTCCATGGACCTCTCCCGGGGTGCGTCCTGACCAGAATTTCAATGCGAATCCAGCAGTAGCGACGAAGGCTTCCCAAGAGGCTCAACGAGAGGAATACGAGGAGGGAAAGGTAACAATATGAGTTGTGTAGAGCCGAATGGTCAAGTCTGCAGACACCCCGGAACGAACGTTAAGGGGTGGAAACCACTCTGCGCGCTTTAACCGCGCGCGTGGACCGCCCCGCTCGATGCACCCCCTTGACGCCCACTCTTGTTGCACCCTCTTGACGCCCCCCTTTGATGCACCCCCTTGACGTCCCCTTTTGGGAGGTCCTGCAGAGGAGGGCGCTCCCCGAGGACGAGGGAAGAGGGAGGACCACTCCACTCTTGAAGTGGGAAGGCGCCCAAAATAGACTGTAATCTGGAGATCCAAGGATTCCTACTTTCACGGAAACTGGAGCATATACATTACCAGTGGCGGGCTGTTTTTCAATCCCAAGACTTTTTGAGTGTCGGGGACGACGTCGGGGTGGTGTGGTGTATACTTTTTTGCTTCGTTTTCCCGGGGAAACAACAACACACATATACACCAGGATCCCGTATACACCAGGATCCGCTCTCCTGTCTGCCAGCTTCAATGCGTGATCGGAAAACACGCGTCGATGTGTAGAATTTGTTTCCCGACTCTCAACGACCGACGGGTAACGGTACAGCCGGCCCGGATCAGTACGTCGACCCTGCCAAATCAAGGGTACCCTTGTCTCCTGTGTCTCGCGACCCATGCCTCCTGCATTCCTATGGCAATGTGGCCCTCGGAAGGGTCTTTTGTCCTCTCGCGTGTCCGACTGTATGGGGGCCGTTTCCTCCTCCTCCTCCTCCTCCTCCTCCTCCTCCTCCTCCTGCAGGGCGGCCCCCCGCGTGCGGACGAGAGACGTGGTCTGCTTGGTGGCCGGAGCTGCGACCCGAGCGAGCTCTCGCCGGAAGCTGCCGACGAGTCCGAGGCAGGCGCTGCGCCCCTGTCCAATGAAGTCCAATGAAGTCCAAAGCAGAGGAGGAGCAGGAGGAGGGGGAGCAGGGGAGGGTGAGGAGGAGGAGGAGGAGGAGGAGGAGGAGGAGGAGGAGGAGGAGGAGGAGGACGAGGAGGCGTTGTGGCATTCTGGGGCTCCCCCTATGCATTCTGGGTTCCCTCCTCGGAGCCTCGGGAAGCACCACGTCTCGCGCGGCCCGCTCCCGGGCGGCCCGCTGCAGCGCCTCGGCGGTCCGCACGGCCCCGGCGGGCGCCCGGCGCGCCGCCACCGCCGCGGCCATCCCGGCGCGCCGCGCACGGAGGGGGGGGGAGGGCAGCGGGGCGCGGGGGGGGAGGAGGAGGAGGAGGAGGAGGAGGAGAGGAGGAGGAGGAGGAAGGAGGAGGAGGAGAGGAGGAGGAGGAGGAGGAGGAGGAGGAGGAGGAGGAGGAGGAGGAGGAGGAGGTGCAGGGGAGGGGATGGACGTGGGGGAGGGGGGCGCGGGGAGGGGATGGAAGGGGAGGGGGGCGTGGGGGGGAGGAGAGGGGTAGAAGAGCAACAAAAAGGCAGAACCATCATGTTGCTGAGGTCCGCGCGGATGTCTTGGATCGGCGTGGATCCCCCTCCCTGGCGCGCGAGGCGCTCCAGGGGCGGCGCCAGAGGCGCCGCGCGGATCTCCGAGAAATGAATTGTACACAATATGTGTCCTTGTTCTGGATTATTTGGGTGGTTGGTGGGATCAGCCGTAGTCGCAGTGTGGAACCGCAATCCGTTTGCCGCGCAATTGTACAGCAGCTGTGTCGGTAGAAGGTGGCGCTTACAGCGTCTTGGGCCCCCTCGTCCCGAGGGCCCGCTGGTAGCGCCAGATGGGTCTGCCAAACCCGACAGAACCAAGTAGTCAGCAGAGGTTGAGCAAGCCAGGTTGCCGATCATCAGGGGGGAGCTGGGGACGCTGTGTCCCCACTTGACTACCTACCAGACCACCCCAACCCAACCCGAAGACCCGAATTTCGGGTTGGGGGGGGTACGGGTTCCATACGTGTTTTCTCGATGTTCCCCGACCCCCCCCCACTGGAAATGGAGGTCAATTTGAGGTCTTCGGGTTGGGTTGGGGTGGTTTGGTGGGTGGTGAGATCATCAAGGGGGAGCTGGGGACGCTGTGTCCCCACTTGCCCTACCAGGACCGGTCCCCCCCTCCGCCGACCCCGAGGATCCCGAAGCCCTGCCCGGCCGCCCAAACGGCCTTCGGGGCTCCACGACGGCCGAGGAAACGGCCGTTGCAAATTCGGGCAAGGTTCTCTCTCCCCTCGCGTGTCTCTGCGCCACTTCATGGCTTCATGAGGTGCCGAGGATGCAGGACGGGGAGCGAAAGAGTTCACGACGGGAGACAGGGCTGGGGCGGGAAGGGGGTGCGGGGAGAGGCGGATCTGGGCCGAGAGGTCCGCGGCCGCCGCCAGCGACCCCGCGCCGAGAGGGGCGGATCAAATGATTGGACGCTGTCTTTAGGGGGAGAAGAGTCCTGACACAGGTTGGATGCATGCGCACGAGGGGCGGATCAAACATTGGACGCGTGCGCAGGAGGGGCGGATCAAGTCTTAGGTGCTGTCCAAGAAGCTCCCTGGGCGCATGCAGCATGGAGAGATGGTTCGTACGATCCCCTTCGCCCCCTGTCTGGGAGGGAATTCTGTCCGCCCTTTGCAAATGACCACCCCGTCCCCAACTCAATCGACCGCCAACCCGAAACATTGAAGCTCCTCCCCATTACACGCACACTCACGCACTATTGTTCTCGAGACCATGCAAACCGCGTGGTGCGGCAAACATTGAGCCATGTGCAGAAGCCCGATGAGAGTTGTCATTTGTGATTGGCAGGGTCGGTTGTGGGAATCATCAGGGTGAGGGGGGCCAGACGGTCATTCTTTGTCCCTGGGCGCATTGCTGAAGTGAGAATCCGTGGTGAGGATTATGTTTGTTGCGTTGTTGTTGTTGGTGTTGCTGTTGTTGCTGTTGTTGTCGTTGATGTTGTTGCTGTTGTTGTCGTTGTTTGTTGTCGTCGTCCCCCCCACGACCCACCCGCGACCCACCCGCGACCCACCCCGCGACCCCCCCCGCGACCCACCCCGCGACCCACCCCGCGACCCACCCACGACCCACCCCGCGACCCACCCGCGACCCACCCGCGACCCACCCCGCGACCCACCCCAGAACCCTTCCGCGACCGACCCGCGATCCACCCGCGACCCACCCGCGACCCACCCGCGACCCACCCCGCGACCCACCCCGCGACCCACCCCGCGACCCACCCCGCCCACCCCGCGACCCACCCCGCGACCCACCCCGCGACCCACCCCGCGACCCACCCCGCCTGCGGCGGGCTCGTTGTATAATGTGTGAAACTTTGGCGCCTGCGGCGGGGTTCTCCGAGTCTTGCAGACTGTCGACGTCCCCACCGCCGCCTATCTCTTATCCGCATCTGCGGGGTGCTACATACTATATTTTGGGCATTGGCACTACATCCCTTCAAAAGAAGGCGGGCCCCCATGTAGTGCCTCCAGGCTGTGAAGATCACGCTGCATTAGCCTAAGTTCTTGTGGTGCTGCGAGAGGTTGAATGTAGCAGTCGAAAATACCCCCCTTCTGAAAGTCTCCCCCGCGCCCAAAACTGCTCCCCAACCTCCTCCAAGCACAACGGAAAACACGGCGGTTGTTCGCTTGCTGCTGATGCTGCTGTTGGACATCATTCGCGGCTGCGTGATGCAGCCGGTGCGCGATTGTGCTTACTGCTGCGTGCTGCTGCCTGCTCCATTGTGGCTCCCACACTACCATTCTTTCGTTTTTTCTCGTCATCGCTCCCCTCACTCCTCCCTCTCCTCCTCCTCCTCCTTCTCCTCCTCCTCCTCCTCGTCCTCCTCCGCCTCGTCCACTTCCTCCACCTCCTCCTCCTCCTCCTCCTCCTCCTCCTCCACCTCTTCCTCGCTCCTCCTCCTCCTCCTCCTCCTCCTGCTGCTGCTCCTCCTGCTTCTCATCTTTCCTCCTCCTCCTCCTCCTCCTGCTCCGTCTCCTCCTGCACACACCCTCCCTCCTCACCGCTCATCATCACTGCGGCAATCGCACTCCTTACCCCGACGTGCTCCTTGCTTCTCCTCACTCCTCCTCTTCCTCCTCCTCCTACTCCTCATCCTCCTCGGTCGTTCTTGCTGACCATTGCTCCTCCGTTACTCCTCATCTCGTCTCCTCCTCACTTCAATCGTCACATTCCTCTTCACTCCCGTTCCGTGTTTGTCCCCAGTCCATATCCTCACTCAGCCTAAGCCTACTCGCTCATTGCTCTTCCTCGCTACTCGCTACAACCCCATCCTCCTCACTCCAGTCGTCGTGATTCCTTCCTCCTCCTCCTCCTCCTCCTCCTCCTCCTCTTCCTCATGATCATGATCATGATCAGCATCATCAGCAGCAGCAGCATCATCATCAGCATAAGCATCATCAGCAGCAGCAGCAGCATCAGCATCAGCATCAGCATCAGCATCAGCATCAGCATCAGCATCATCGTCATCATCATCATCATCCTCATCATCATCCTCATCCTCATCCTCATCCTCATCCTCATCCTCATCCTCATCCTCATCCTCATCCTCATCCTCATCCTCATCCTCATCATCATCATCATCATCATCGTCATCATCATCGATTTCTCCCTTGCTCCTCCTCCTCCTCCTCGCTCCGGTCATTGTGCTCCCCCCTCCTCCTCGCTCCACGGTCCTCGCTCCTCGCTCCTCCCTCCTCCTCCTCCTCCTGCTGCTCCTCCTCCTCCTCCTCCTCCGCAACTCTCCCTCGCTCGTCCTTATCGCTCCCCTTCCTCGCTCCTCGCTCCTGCCCGCTCCTCCTCCTCCTACTCGCTCCTCGCTGCCACCCCTGCTCTTCTCCGCCAACTGGCTCTCTTTGCGTTCGTCCTCACTCCTACTCCCCACGCGTCTTCTTCGTTTCTGCATTATCCTGGCTGTTCGTCATTGCACCGGAGTTCGAGCATACTTCCTCTCGTGCTCCCGCCGACCCGTCGCTCCTCCTCGCTGCTAATCCTAATCACTGCTCCTGCCTCCTCTTCTTCTTCCTCCTCCTCCTCCTCCTCCCTCTCCTTCCCCTCCTCCTCCTCCTCCTTCTTCTCCTCTTCCTCCTCCTCCTTTTCCTCCCTCTCCTCCTCATCGGTCCTCCTCGATGATATCAGTCCTCCTTCTCCTGTGAGGGTGATGTTTGGAGTCCAGTCGTGGCTTCCTGTGCCATCTTGGAGGGCTTCTGGGACGATATTATAGAGCTATCTTGGTAAGGGAGACAGCATCCGACACGACAAGCATTGTCAAATGCTGCCCCCAGGGCGATGTTTGACACGACAAGGCCGCCATGAGGCATGCCTCCGCTTCGAGATCGAAGAGAGGGAACGGCGAGGGCGGGGAGGTGAGAGGCAGCAGGGCAACCAAGACGAGGGCTGGGAAGACGGGAGGCGAGAAGCGGCAGGGGAACCAGGACGAGGGCTGGGGGGATGGTGAGGCAGACGAGGACGGGGACAGCGAGCGCCTGCCCGACGCCTCACTCCGCCAGCAGTGTCGCACACCTTTTGTCAAGCGCGCACCAGATCCGCTCGTCGCGAACGCGGGACAGAAGAGTCTGGTGACGACCGCCGATCCAATCCCGTCGGCCCCATCCCCGTCCTCCTCCTCCTCCTCCTTCTCCTCCTCCTGCTTATCCCCCCGCGTGGAGGACGGAAGGCGAGGGGGGGAATAGTCAATGGGTGGAGGAGGCGAAGAGGAAAGAAGGGCACTGGGCTTGCCGTCGCTCGGACGTCCATTTCCCGTGCATTTGTCGGTTTCGTGCGTGTTTTTGTTTGCTCGATGGTCCAGGATGGTCCTCGATGGTTCTCGCCGAGAAAAGCATGCACACGTCCGAGCGATGCCAAGGGGCATGCACTTCTGGATCGGCGGACGTTCGGAAGCCGGGCAGGGGACTGCATCGACCTCGGGGAAGTTGTCTTCGTCCTTCCAGGAAGAAGCCCGTTGACGGTTTCGCGCGGCGCGCCCCGTTCCGGGAGGTTGTTTTTTCCTTCCGCGAGGGCCGTTTTGGCAGCCACGGTCTCAGCAGCCCTCGCCCAGCTCTCGAGGCGTGACGCGCGCTTCCCAACTGGGGGGGGCAGCGCAGAGCACGCCGAGCGCGGTCCGAGCCACAGCAGAGGGGAAAAAGACCAGGGCAGCGCGTGGCC